CAAATAAACAAACACAGGCACATCTAATACCTGACAAAGATAATAAAACAAGACCTACTGGGGAGTTCTGCGTGACATCTAATCAAGGCTGCAGATTGTAAAGTATCTATTTCCACAACCACTGCATACCTGTCGTTACTTGCAAGTAGGTCGAAAGGACAACCCAGGGAAACATATTTTGTGACCAAGGTGTTTACATTCACACAGAAACTAGAACAAGAGTGCTGTAAATTTTAAATCTGTTATCGAAAAGGTCGGCGGGAATTGGTGAACACATTGAAGGTCACGATTAGCATTTGAAAGAATCGGGCGAATATTTATTGCAGGTAGCTGGCGCCAAAAGGAAGGAAGGTTCCTATGAAACTGTCTAGCTCAGAGGTTCCGAAACTTCTCTTGGCCCACCACCCCATTTTTAATTAAAAATAAAATTACTCATTGCTCCTCTCCCCTGAAAAAAAAATCATCATCATCATCGCGTGTAATGCCGATAAGCATAAGCAGTCACAATTAGCTATCTTTTACAATCTACAGAACCACGGAACAGTGCTCTTGTCCCGCTTCATCCACGTGGCCTAACCACGTAACTTTATATATTTGCCTTTCTTTTTTCCATCAGTATTGCCAGTTGTCACTAAGTTCAATGATTTATTCCTTAGCTGGATGGCATCATCATCTTTAGTTAGCAGGTTCTTTGCAGAACGTCCCTGTCGTCACAATACACTTTAATGTACATCTCTATGTGCTTTCACAGCCAATGCATCTTCAAATCTTGTATCAACCTTCGTAGAGGTGGGCTTGTCCCTGCTTTTCCAGAAACTGAATCCATCACTGCTTTATCCTGGCCACCACAAAGCTTAATATGACCAGAATACCTCAGCAAGGATGCGACGATCTCAGTTTGTAAGCTGGCCCCTAAGTAAACTTAGTTGAATAGCCCTGATGTATGATGTCGATGTTTTTCTTATTCGTCCATGATATTCTAAGAATTCTACTGCGAAATTTACTTTCTGTAATCGAACATGAAAAAGATGCAGTCACAAATTTAATTGTGTTTATACATCTTCCTGTATTTTATATATTACAACACAGTCATGAGCATGTTATATATAAGACGCTTTGAAGCTTGAATTTGAAAATAATCAACCACAGCATTTTTCGTATTACACACAGAAAATTAAAACAAAATAGGAAATTATATAATTGTGGTCTCTCCTTTAAATAACGGTCCCAAATGATTTACGCAGAAAGTTAACCCTAACAGAGCCTCACTCATATCTAAAATTCGCATTTCTTTTGCGGCGAATCTACCGCGTCAAAGGTAGGATTAACTGCGCACGATATTTTCGCGAAACACAACGGACTTTTTTACGACGATTAAACGGTGGTGAAACTAGGATTAACTACGGACGAAAAATTAGCGATACGCAAGAATACTCCTGATAGCGCAATCCTACGGCAGGGCCACAGTTATATGTAAGTTGCGGACCACTTTTCGCAGACTATAGTACCACCTCCGAGAGTATCCCCGCACCGCTTCGCGCGGCGCGGAAGGGGCTAAACTAGATGGCTGGGACTCGCGAGCAGCAGCTACAGCTTCTCCTGCAGCTTCCTCCATTGTTTTTGCTCGTGAGTCCTAGCCATCTAGTTTAGCCCCTTCCGCGTGGTGCGTAGCGGCGCTTGGGATACTCTCGGATGTGGGCTTTAGTCGCAGCAAAACATTCATGAGCTACTTCTTCCGTCGCAACTGCCAGCGTGGTCACATTCGCCACGGTCAAGGGGTGGTCGGGATAGTGGCGCGCCATAGTGGTGGCTGCTGGTTTGAAGTTGTCCCGAGGCGACTGCTGGTTTGAAGTTGTCCTGAGGCGACGTGCGCGTACATTAAAACGCACATTATTGATTATGTCTCGCCCGGAACGAGAATCGCGGACAAGCCGCGCCCTGTTGAAATGGCGGACAGACAGAAAGAACAGATATTCGGGCACTATTTGCACCTTCTGTGCCACAATGTTCACATATAAAAGATTTAACTGTCGGTAAGTAGTAGACTTCGTCCTTTTCCTCATACTTTTCGTTCCTTATATTTTCCGAGCTACAACTTTTAAATCTTTGTAGGGCAGGACATATTGAGGCTCTGTTAGGGTTAACTTTCTGCATAGATTATTTAAAGGAGAGCCTAATTTTGCAATTCCAATATTAAAGCTATTTTTTTTTTCAAGCGCTCAACATTTGCTGTCAGCGTCTGTGGCTTATGAGTTGCGAACGCGCTTCATAATACCGAGGTGTCTGGTCCGATCTCAACTGCAGGTGATTTGGCCTTAGTTTCGACAGTGAATTTAGAACTGACCGTTTAGAAAGCAATGGCAAATTGCTGAATTTAAATTTGTTAACTAAAATCACAAATAGGCAAAAACTGCTAGGTTGATGCTGCAACGTCATGTAACGAATACACAATTAGACAATAATGACTATGAATGGAACCCGTATAAAGTCTTGGAAAGTAAAAGTGGCTGGCGTGATTGTGACCACATCTCCCGTCGAATGATCTAGAAAAAATTGAGTCTGGCCACATATGCCTGATGCGCCACTGGCGGGTAAAGGGATCTTTTGCAGTGAGTGGGAAGGGGTGGACTTTTCATTTTCATTGCGCTGAATGCTTATCTGAAACCTATCTTTTTGAGCCTTGTCTAGTTTTCCCCCACATTAATTTTGTGTGCTTTAGCCGAAGAAATGTAACCGTATACCAAGTTATAACTGCTCCAGTGTAGACTTGCCCTGATAGTTTTGTATTGAGAATAGAATTAGTGAGAATAGACCAGGGCTGTCAATGGGATTTTTTTTTGAAAAACCCAGCTACGCTAAACAAAAACCCAAGCAATACATAGACAAAGAACCAAAAAAAAAAACCCCCCAGATTGTTAAAATGTACACAATTTATATTTACGAAACGAAACATTTACCACTTTTGTATAAGGATATATTTTTTAAACCAGATTCCCCCAGGCGTAAAAAAAAAACACCAGATCTGGGGGGGGGGTGGGGGGGGGGGGACCCAGCATTGGGAGCGCTGGAATAGACTCTTCGCCCAGTTTCTATTACCACCCTCCCATCCTCCTCTCCCTCCCTCCCCCCCCCCACCCCCCAGCCCCCATTCTTCCCCACACTGGTTAGTGAAGTATATAGAAGGCTGTTGAAGTGGGGGGATTTTTACGGCCGTGCAAACATCAAAGTCAGCTACGAGTAGTATGTTCAAGAATTGCTGGTAACACCATTAACTTACGTAAATTATGCAAACAAATTCAACAATGCAACTACCGCCTCCTCCGATCGTGCCATCTATCTTTGGGACAGTACAGCTCACGTTTGGGAACCTATGGATTTTGGGAGTGGGGCAATAAATGTATATAGCGTCGGGTTTATAGTTGTGCTTTGGCCAATAAATGTTGGCATGATATCCTCTGATCAATGCTACGTGTGTTTTAATGAGTAAGGAATGCGTTTCTACGTCTTCGGGTGACTTAGTGATACTGATTTGAGAATCCACCTCATAGCACACTGGGAAAACTCCTAAGTGATCCGTTTCCCGCAGCAAATGTCTTTAGGTGTAGACACCAGGACTGTACCGAATAGTGGTTTTCACTATTCGGCCAAATACGAATAGCTGGACCAACTAATCGGCCGAATACGAATAGTGAATCATCATCATCAGGTGCTTTGCCGACTGGTATGGGCGATTATGCCTCGCCACAATCTGCGATCTCCTGTAGCATGTATTAGTTCGTGTGCTGACACACCTTCATGCCATGCAACTATACTGTCAAGAATCTTATCTCGTTGTCTTCCTCTATCCCTCCTTCCACATATCTTTCCAGTGGTCACCATATGTTCCATTCTCCCTCATCTTTGAATATGGCCGAAAAGTGATGACTGTCTCCTTCTGATGTCTGTGAGTAGTTGTCCTCGGGCTCCCGCCTTTATCAAAACCTCTTGGTTGCTTTGTGTGTGTGTGTGTGTGTGTGTGTGTGTGTGTGCGCGCGCGCGTGCGTGCGTGCGTGCGTGCGCGTGTGCGTGTGTGTGTGTTTCATTTCCACTCTTTGCTTTAGTGTTTGGTAGCCCAAAGAATCAGATTTCAGTTAAGTCCTAATTAGCCTCCCCGCGACGCTTCTCGGTCAAAAACTATTCGGCGATGACAGAAACTGTTAACTAAGACGGCTTACAGTCCAGTTTAGTTTGGGTGGACACGGATGCCAAGGTCATTTAAACATCGTTCCCTCGGAGAGGGAGAAATGATGACGGGTGCGGGGTATTTTTCTCCCCTATTCGTGAGTATAGTGTACTTTTCACTGTGGGTTCCATAAGCAGAATAGTTAACAACTACGCTACCAAACACTCAAGCAAAAAGTGAAAATAAAATTATACAATAATGCAAAGTTCAATAAGAGCTCAGCGGTCAAATATGGCCGATCACATAAAAACAAATCCGGGCCGGCAACGAAACAAATAATGATATGCCGTTACTGGAGCTACGTCGTTCGTGGTTTGAGCTATTTTCTGACAAAAAAATCACGCTTGGAGTGAAAGGCAACGTAGTGTGCAAATTTGAAAGCAATCGGTTCAGTAGTTTCCGAGTTTTTAGCTTACATCATCGCAAAATTAAGTTTCAGCTCCATAGCAGACAGGTCACTCCATAGTTGCTCTGCTCATGGGCCAACGAAAATCACACAGAATGTTCGTCACTGTCCCTTGTGGAAAAATTTACACAGACAGCAGTCTCAGCATTCGCTCCATCAAGAACAACCTAACAGAAATGAAGACCAACCTGTACAATGTATTGGGAAAAGCGCACAAACGATCCTTACATATCCCCCTAACACCTAGCTAAGGCAAATGGTGGAAGAGAAAAAGAAGAAGAAGAAGTTCCGCAGGATGTGAGTTGAAGTTGGTGGGAAACCTTGAGTTGGAGATATTTATTTGCATTAATGTATCTTATTTTTAATCCACAGTGCCACTGCTTACTTCGCCAGACGAAAAACCATCAGGGAAACATACGCAGCTAAAGGTGTCTTTGGGCATATCACCCAAAAGGTGGTGTTTCTCCTGGGCACAACCACAGATCCCGTGGTTACAAAATCCATACAGGAAGAAGCGTTTCTCTACAGAGACATCGTCCAAGGCCAGTTTTTCGACTCCTATCACAACCTCACTCACAAAGGAGTTCTGGGCTACCGATGGATCACACAGTATTGTCCACAAGCCAAGCTCATCGTTAAAATTGACGATGACGTTTTCATTAATCCATTTAAGTTGGTCAAAGAATTCCTTCCCCAATACGTAAACAAAACCAAACATATTGCTTGTCATGTAAGACCCGGAGGCACAAGTCCGATTGTCAGAGGGACTGGCAAATGGCAAGTCCACGAAGATGAATTTAGGGGCCAAAACTACTATCCATTTGACTATTGCAACGGCTATTTCGTGATTATCACCCCTGATCTTATTCGTCCTATGCTAAACGCTGCAAGACTGAACCCTTTCTTTTGGATTGATGATGTGTATCTTTTTGGCATCTTACCCGCAACAGTTGGCTCTGTGAAATTTGTGAATATCAACAAGCAAGTTACATTGTCTTTCAAAGTCGGTGAAAAGTGTTTCAATGACAATGGGGCGGGATGCCATTTGATTGCTGCTAGTCCTTTTAAACAAGAAAACGCGGAGAAACTGTGGAACATTGTACTCTCTAATTTGACTGACAGCATCAAGAAGGAGCTTAGCGTGTTTGGTTTATAACCGTCTTCATAGAATCTACAGCCATTTTATTTTAAATATTTGTTTATTATTATTATACAAGGTATTACATTTGAGAGTATTGTTTATTTGCATGTATCCTGTTGGAGATTGAGTAGTAACAAGTAAAGGTCCCTTTTTCACGCCTTTAGACATATAGGATGTATAGGGCTTGACCTATATTTGTATAGACCAATCGGCACAAGATGGGTGATGTGGTCAGCATCATGCCCGCCGCCTTTACTTCTGGGACTGCACCGGGTACTGCTCAAGGTTGGCAGTAAAGCGTCTAGCCACTATGCCACGGCGATTGGGTAGACGTAACTAAAAAAACCTCTTTTTTTGTATACACAATTTAGTTTTTAAAAAAAGTCAAGTAAAAGACCCCTTTCCACGACCTCAGGGGTATAGGGTATATAGGGCTAATAGAGCTAGACCTATATTTTATAGACTAATCGGCCCTCCGTGAGTGATGTGGTAAACGTCATGCTGGCTGTCTTTACTTCCCAGGACTATACCTGGTGCCCACTCAAGGCTGGGTCGACCTGAGAGCCAAGGTTATTTAAAAAAAAAAAAAAAGTCCGGCTCCATCAGGACCAGACAAGGGATGACCTTCCAATCGGCAGGTGAGTGTCTAGCCGCTACACCATGTCGGCTCCTATTTAGGCAATCAGTGCACTGGAAATATGGTGCCTGTCCCATACTTGTGTACACTACAGGGCAAAGAGGGCACGAATGGGGAGTCAAGATCGACACAGCAAGGCACGAGAAGCACACCGGACGCAGACAAGTCTTGTCAACCAGCACAGGACTGGGACTATAAACCTCGGGTTGCTGATGTATATGCTGAAGGGGGAATCTGAGCACCTATTGACGTGTCTGGAGTGTCATGAAGATAACCCAGAACACTACTGGGCGTTTTATGAGTGATGCGGTCATTGTATCTTTTGTAAAAGTGAAGGACCCTTCTCCACCTTTGAGGCGTATTGGGTATATAGGGCTAGATCTATATTTTATATACCAAACAGCACTTGGTGAGTGATGTGGTTAGCATCATGCCAGCCGCCTTTATTTCCCAGGACTGTACCTGCTACCCAATCAAGGTTAGGTCAACCTGGGAGCCAAGGTGATTTTTTTAGGGAAAAAAAATACTATCTGAACATCTGAACAAGGTTTTGTCTGTTATGTTATAGCTTTAGCAGTTTCATAACTTAGAAAACGCTATTTGAACAAGGTTTTATCTGTTGTGTTATAGCTTTAGCAGTTTCATAATTAGAGAATACTATTTGAACAAGGTTTCGTCTCTTGTCATACAGCATCAGTTGGTTCATCATTGTAGCCAGTAGGTTTTCGACAAGGGTTTGCTAACTATAGTTTAGGTTCACTTTGTTCATATTATGAAAAAGGTATTTTTTTCCCTTTCAAAATTATGCGCTATCTCAAAGAAGATTAGATACAGTGCACATAATGCAGTATGGGGGGACATTACCAGGGGAGGAACAATCTCTTCCACAGTACGACTCTCCTATCTCTGTCCAAATGCAACAAGGGCAGGTGTTTTTTTTAAATACCGTCCGCTGTATAAGATTTTCTGTTGTAGAGGGTGGTACAGACTGTGTATTGTTTGTTGTGAAAAATCATTCACAGGTTTATAAATTCATAATCCCAGAGTATGTTGGCGGCATGTGAATGTGTGCATCAACTGCTTTTTTGGGTGACTCTCATATGCTTGTATAAATGTCAGGAGAACTATTTATTAAATATGATGCCTTTCATTAAATATGCCTTTCGATTGATCAGATTCATAATTTATTAGGGTGGTATCGAACCGGGGTAGTGTCTATTACAAAATAGCATTAGTATTTTTATAATCAGAAAGTATTTGATTGAATCTGGTGTTGTCTGTTGAAGAATAGCATTAACGTTTCCATAGTTAGAGAGTATGATTTGAATCGGATATTTTCATTTGTAAAAGAGAATTAAAATGTTCATATTTAGAAAGGATAGTTGTGAACAGGATATGATCTTTTATGAAATAGCAAAAACATTTTCATAATTAGAGAGAATGTTATTGAATCAGATATTATCTTTTGTAGAATAGCATTAACATTTCATAATTAGAGAGAATGTTATTGAATTGGATATGTTATTGAATTTGAAATTATCTTTCATAGAATAGCATGTTCATAATCAGAGAGGGTAGTATTGAACTGGGTATTATCTGTTATAAAATAGCATTAGTATGTTCGTAATCAAAAAGTACGGTATCAAATCTGGTGCTTATTGTAGAATAGCATTTACATTTTCATAATTAGAGAGTATGTTATTGAGTCGGATATTATCCTTTGTAAAATAGCATTAAAATGTTCATAATCGGAGAAGATGGTGATGAACAGGGAATTATCTTTTATGAAATAGCATTAGTATTTTCATAATCAAAGAATACGGTATTGGGCTATCCTCCGAATAAAGAGCACATATTATAGTGGCCAAAAACAGGGCCTCAGTCACATGTAAATTGCAAACTTCCGGCGACTTAATTTGCGAACTGCCACCACTGAGAGTATCCCCCTCGCTCATACGATGTGTATTGGGGCTAAACTAGATGGCTGGGACTCAAGAGCAAAGCTGCAGAAGATGCAGAAGCTGCTGCTCGTGCGTCCCAGCCATCTAGTTTAGCCCCAATCCACGCTGCGTGAGCGGCGTGGGGGATACTCTGGGTGGTGGCGGTAGTCGCAGGAAGTACACAAATTAAGTCGCCAGAAGTGCGCAGTTGACATGTGACTAAGGCCCTGTTAGGGTGTTTTTGTGGCCGCCATAATATGTGCCCGTTATTTGGAGGATAGCTGGGTATTGAGTACCAAGGAACTCACCATGGGTTTTAGGTCTATCTTACATATGTGGAATTAAGAATCAACATTATAGCACTCAGGACACTCCCATAAGTGCTCCGTCCCCATATTTAGCAGCAAGTGAAGAGTTCCAGTTCCAATGGCACCAGTAACTGTCTGATTGTACATCCATCTCACCTTTCCCTTGAGTGTTGAGTCTGATCCCCTAGTAACTACCTGCAGCGCCATTTTCTTCAGGCCGTAATGATCTATTTGTGCCTCTGCACTGATGACTCGCTACCAAAGGGCCCTCACAACATCCAGCTTGTCATACATAAATTTACCACCAGGCAGTGCAGAACTGGCCAGTCTATCTGTCTGCTCATTTCTCAACATATCAGCATCACCTGGAGAAAATATCCAAAGGTCTATAACTACTTGGGACCTCTGAAGCGATGCTTTCCACTCTGCACAGAGCATGCCTGTCCTGACCTTTCTCAACATACTCTGTGAGTCAATACCAGTTACAACATGTGTTTACAGCTGATTCTCAATCCCGCAGAAGGCAGCAGTGACTGCCTTTATCTCTATTCTCAAACTAGACGTTGTGATATCATATGCCAGGCATTGTTGCACTAAGCGACGTTTTGCTATGACCCCCCCCCCCCCCCCCCCCATGCACTTACTATAACTCTCAATACACAGAGCCATCAGTATAGGTAATCAGACCTGGGCGGCAATTATCATGAATCATTTGTTGACCTGCTTACATGAATGTTTATTAACTCATTTCACCTTATTTGGCTTGTAAATGTAACAAATTCTCTCCTAGTTATAATTCAATTCCTTTTTTCCATAGTGGTATTATTTTAACCTCTTCAAGACCAGTCTATTGTTCATTGACACTTAGGTCAGAATGGGTTAAAGAAGCACTTACGTGGGACTAAAACTGTAACCTAATGAGTAATTTATTGATCTACTGATTTAAGAATCGACATCCCATCCCACCGGGCATACCCATAGATGCTCCGTCTTAGGCAGCAAATGTCTCAAGGTGTAGATGCTAACTGATACCGTAGCACACTGATTATACACATGTCCTTCTCTTCATCTCATTTTCTAGTCCTTCTCTTGCCCATTATTTTCTGTCTCCTGTTTCTTATTCTCTCTCTTCCTCTCCTTTTCCCACTCTTTTCCAAACATTTGTTGCGAGTGTTGACATCAGAACATGATAGTCGTAGCTCCCTCGAAGATTCTGTTGAGAAAAAAAAGGAAGATCGAGACTTCTTCTTCTTCTTCTTCTTCTTCACTTCCTCTTTTACCGCTGTGGGTGTCGAGGGAGATATAAGGTTCTGTTTCTAGATCGAGACTAACTGTTTGAAATTTCAAAGACACGGCTGACAATGATTTGTTTTAATTGCGCCAAGACATGCAATTATAGGGGGAAACTAACAACCTGATAGGATATGTGACAGAGCTGTTGAGGTAATCTGAGGAGCAAAGACCTGGACTGATATACTGACTCTCCACAGCGACTGAAAGAATCTAGCTATGACTGCCAATAGAAAAAAAACGTCACCAGATTCCAAGAACGACAGATCAAAATGAGTGAAACCAGATATTTGCACTCCAGGATAGGTCTTGGATGAATTGTAAACAAACAAAAAATAAGGGCCACTAGTAACCACACTCTGAAGGGATGTATACCTATATGGACTGCCAAAGTGCCAACATCTGATTACTCATTTAAGAATCGACATCACAGTACACTAGGTATACCCATAGGTGCTCTGTCTCCCGCATCTATTATCCTACAGTGTAGATGCTAACTGTTCCCGTAGCACACTAATTATACACACATCGTTCTCTTCCTGGCATACGTCCCTCCTTGCCAGATCGAGTCCCAATTCCTTGTTTACACATTCTGATACAGGTTATTTCATCATATATGGTCTTCAAAACATCTCCCTTGTCCAGGTGGAGTCTTCCTATAGCTATCACTACTACTGCCTGTATTTACGCTTTTGCAGTATAGGCACAGGGGCCTTGGAGCCTGAAGATTTATCTGGCACAAGGCATGAATAATTTAATGTTTAATAAGGATGATCTGACTAACCTTTTTGTTCCATTTCAATTCATCTGTGTGCGGCTTTGTGTTTGAGTTTGTGTGTAAGTGTGTTTTGTTTATGCGTGTATACCTGTGTGCATCAAGTACATTTCATATTTTCAAATTTGGCTTTCTCCTTCATCAAATTTGTTAGAAAAATTAAATGAACTTTTGGTATTCTGCTGTTGAAGTTGTGTTGGTTTGTATTGTTACTTTTGTTAGATATGACTGCGCTACTGTATAACAGCAGTAGGTACAACCTGTTCTCAGTTAACACCGAATGTTGGGCAGCGCATACCAAAACCGACATCCCATATTGTACCAACAGTTTTGGACAGAGAAGGACATTTGGGGAGGATACTAGCCTTATCCTAGAAGACATACATAAGCACACACACACAGATAGAGAAAGGAGAGGGGGGCAGACAGAAAGAAAAAAAAACAGACACATGAGGAGAAAGTGCCTGAGAGAGAAAGAGACAGAGACACAGAGGGAGACAGACATAAGGAGAGACATATACATAGAGAGAAACATATATAAAGAGAGACAGAGACACAGAGAGAGACAGACATAAGAGAGACAGAGACAGATACAGAGAGAGATAGAGACAGAGAAGCAGAGACAATGACAGAGATAGATATAGAGACACAGAGAGAGAGAGACAGAGAGAGACAGAGACACAGAGAGAGACAAAGAGAGGGACAGAGAAAGGGAAATAAGACACAGATAGGGATAGACAAAGACAGATAACCATAGACAGGGAGACTGAGAGAGAAGACAGAGACAAAGACACAGAGAGAGAAAGACAAACACTGATAGACAGAGGGAGACAGAAAAAGACAGACATACAGACAGACAGGTATATATCTAAATAGTCACTGGAAAAGAACTGGGTACTATGAATGTGGATTCACTGATCTATAAATATACTTAATGATGGAGAGAGAGAAAGAGACGAACACACAAACACACACCCAGAGAGCAAAAGAGAGAGAGAGAGAGAGTAGAGCTTTAAAACAACTGGTAAATTAGCTAGTAAGTTTTATTTGTAAACCTTGATCTGCAGAAATGTCTCCGTCACTAAGACAAAGACACCTTCAGACATTACCTCATATGATAACTCAACAATAACCATGTCAAACTAGTACTGTCAATCAATAACATAACAATCATGCATAAACAATCATGCATAAAACTAACCCAATCAATCGATAACGTGACAATAATCACACTAAACTACATAAACAATGTTTGCTCTGATCAAAAGCTTTGGGTAATTCAAAAATCACAGTTTTAAAGAATGAAAACAAACAGTCCTTAAAATAAAATCAAAGCTGTTTAAACACATCAGTTCAATATATTTACTTTATCAGGAAGGTAAAAGATCTTTCTTGACATTCAAATGAGTCTAAATTGTATTGTCAAAATAAACAAACCATTAAATCCTAAATACATGTAAAAGAACACTTTTCACAACTTTATAATTAACACAGCCATTATGCAGTAAATAGAAAACCATCAATCAGGAGGACCAATCCTTGTCTGATGCAAATCAGAGGATTTCCTTTCTTTACAGATCCATTAAACAAATCCCATTTTTATTATAACTGCAGCTTTTTTTTTTTTTTTTGCAAATTATCTGTATGAAGTCCTTTCCTTCTCATATTCTTCAACTACTTCCTATACTGATTCTTCCTCTTTTCTTCATCTTCCTTTTCTTCTCTCCTCCTTCATCTTCTTATTTTTCTTCCCTTCTCCATTCATGTTTCCTTCCTTCCTTCCACCCTTCCTTCCTTCCTTGTTTTTCTTATTCTTCTCCTTCTCCTCCCCACCTCCTCCTTCGTCTTCTACTTCTTCTTTCCTTCCATTCCTTTTCCTTCCACCCTTCCTTCCTTTTTGTCGTTGTTATGATTATTATTATTGTTTTTCTTTTTCTTTTTTCATTTAACTTTCTTTACTTCCTCTTTTTTTTTAAATATATTTTCTTTCTTCTATTTTTTTTTCCTCATTCATGCCGTATTCCTCTTCTCTTTTACCCCTCTTTTTCTGCTTGTCTTTCCTATCTTTGTCTTTTCTCACTGCCCTCTTATTTCTTTTTTTTTCTTCCTCCTCTTTTTCTTTCTGTTTTTGCTTACTTTACCTTCTTTTCTCCTTCTTATTATTAAGCGTCTCTTCTTTCTCTTTTTTTTTTATCTTCATCTTTTTTTTTTTCCTTTTCCTCTTTTTATTTCCAACCTTCTCTTCTCTCTCCTTCCATTGCTTCTTCTATAAAGTATGGCATTATTTATGACTTTATTTTCGTCAACCACATTCATTGTTCATCTTAACATTCTGGTTTACTATTGTTATACGCATATAAATACAATTCTTTGTTATTTACAACAGAAACAGAAAAATTCATATATTATTATTTTCTATTTTTTTTTAAAAACTAATACTCAGAAAAAACATAAGCACTATGTACACAATTCTTGTGGTCTAAATGTATCTCTTTTGAGTGTGTTTATAGACTTTGTACAAAGTGATCCTTACAAATAGTTTTCTGTGAAACTTTTCAAAAAAAATATACTTAATGATTGAATGTAGATATTTTACATGAATGCAGATGTACCTTGGCATGACTATATTAATTTACAAATGTTTGGGTTCATAAGCATGTGTGTGAGTACATTCATGCATGCACAGACAAGGTGTTATTCAGTTTTCTTCACTAGCACAGAGTGCAGCTTCGCAGCTTATAGGTTACCGAACACAGTTAACAATTTCAAAATTCCTGAGTAATAAGGTTCTTTTCCCAACCTTGTAGCTAACCTTTGTTGTGGAGATGGCACATTTTGTTTGTTGTAGCACAGATGTTGCTGGAAGTCAGCATCTATACATTACCACATTTGCTGTGGGACAGGGAACATCTACGGGTATGCCGACTTCCTTTAATGACAAACTGCATTTTTGGTATCGACTATTGGCTTTGGCAACTCTAGCAACTGCCATATGCATTTACTGTGTGTGAATATTTCTAGATAGTTCCAGCAAAAATTGTTTGTTCACCAGTTTTTCAAATGAGACAGTGAAGAATATTTAAGTTGATTTGCATTGGCACAGGAACTGAGCAAGTAAAGGGAAACTCGACTGCAGTGAAGTTGAAACTATACTACTCTACAGAGGGATGGATGGTCATTCCCAGGCTGTATTTAGGCATGTGCAACTGGTGGAAGTGGGGTAGAGGCAAAATTATGATGGTGGCAAAGTATGACTAGTAGTAACCACAATTGTATTGCTTTAAACATTATGAAATATGCTTTAGATTAGCCATCTGGCATTAAAATAGTAAGGCACTAGCGATGCTGACGTTTAGCTGAGGGAAGGCGTGCATAAGATAAATGACCGCACAGTGGCATTATACATCCAATACAGCCCTGGTCATTCCGTAAGTTGTTTTTTTTTCACATGCTAATCTGCCAATAATTTTAGTATACATAAAGGAACAGACAGTCTTCTTCTTCTTCGCGTTCACCAGCTGTACACTCTGGCGGAAAGTTCTGGTTGCTCGTCCACTACTGAACTGCAGTCCTGCTCCAGAACCTGAGTGTTGCGTGTGCATCAGTTTTACAGATCTCATTCTCTTGAATACAGACTGTTGGTTCCTTGCCTCTTCGGCAGATGCACTGCGACTTCAAAGGAAGCTCTCCAATTAGTCGACTCTTACGACATGCTTTTGGGAAGATAGTGGGTCTATTCTTGTTTTCCCCTACAATAGGGCCCCGGAACCCACACGGGGGTACAGACAGTTATTCCACACATTTAGTACACAGAGAGGAACAGACAGTTTTTCTACACATTTAATACACATAGGGAAACAGACGGTTATTCTACACTTTTAGAATACATAGAGGAACAGACAGTTATTCAACATGTTTAGTACACCTAGAGGAACAGACAATTATTCCACACATTTAGTACACATAGAGGAACAGACAATTATTCCACACATTTAATACACATAGAGAAACAGACGGTTATTCTACACGTTTAGAACACATAGAGGAACAGACAGTTATTCAACATGTTTAGTACACCTAGAGGAACAGACAATTATTCCACACATTTAGTACACATAGAGGAACAGACAATTATTCCACACATTTAGTACACATAGAGGAACAGACGGTTATTCCACACATTTAGTACACATAGAGGAACAGACAATTATTCTACACATTTAGTACACATAGAGGAACAGACGGTTATTCCACACATTTAGTACACATAGAGGAACAGACGGTTATTCCACACATTTAGTACACATAGAGGAACAGGTTATTTCACACATTTAGTACACATAGAGGAACAGACGGTTATTCCACACATTTAGTACACATAGAGGAACAGGTTATTCCACACATTTAGTACACATAGAGGAACAGACGGTTATTCCACACATTTAGTACACATAGAGGAACAGACGGTTATTCCACACATTTAGTACACATAGAGGAACAGACGGCTATTCTACACGTTTAGTACACATAGAGGAACAGACGGTTATTCCACACATTTAGTACACATAGAGGAACAGACGGCTATTCTACACGTTTAGTACACATAGAGGAACAGACGGCTATTCTACATGTTTGGTTTCTTCTACATATTGATAAGACACTATCTCCAGCACGGATACTTGAATACATATTCTGTTTCTTTTATACATTTATCTACCAACATTTTACAGAGGAACAGTTGGTCATTCCATAAGTCTTTTTTTTTTCAAGTTTTTTTTTTTTTTTAATTTATATTGCATTACGATCATCTGTGCAAAGCAACAGTTTATCATTCTGCAAGTTAAGTTTCTGCGATGTACTCATCCACCAACATTTGTGCAAAGCAACAATTTATCATTCTGCAAGTTTAGTTTCTGCAATGTACTGATCCACCAACATCTCCAGAACAGACACAGGAACAGCTCCACATGACAGTATTCGATGATGGAACTCTTTAATGTCAAACTTCTCACCTGAAAAGGGAACACATACTTAATTTAAATCATTCTCCCTTTAGAGCCAATTTCTAAACCAAATACGTGTTTTCATTTACATGTTGACACTCACCTGGCAGCTCAAAAAGTAAATTTTTTTTATCTTTTTTTTTTTTTTAAATAAAGAATTTATCTTGGCATTATAAAGTTTGTTCCCAACACCTTAGCCACAGACACTGACAGCAGTTGGTTACTGTTGCTTATCTAATTAAGTTTCCAGATTGTTTCTGCCTACAATCCAGACTGTGAAATGACCTGAATCCCTGTGTGGGCTCTGGGGCCCTATTGTGGGGAAAACAAGAATAAACCCACTGCCTCCCCAACAAGTAAGTCATAATAGTCGACTAACTGAGGGCTACCTTCAAAGTCGGAGTGGATCTGCCAGAGAGGCAAGGAACTAACAGTCTGCATACAAATAAGCAAGATCTGTATAACAGATGCACATGAAAAACTCAGGTCCTGGAACAAAACAAAAGTCCAGAAATAGACGAGCAACCATGTTTTTTTCGCTGGTGTTTACAGCCAGCGAAGGCAAACAACAACAACAACAAATGACCTGAAAAGTCAGCAAGATGCTGTCCTTATCGCCCTCTAGTGTCAGTTACTTGAAAAAAATATGGGTCTTATATTACCATGTCACTCTGTATCGGGCACTCCAATGCATGCTCAGTCTTACGATACAGTAACCACACCAAGGTAATTATGCTGATTGTTTCCATGAGCAGTTGGTTATAATGTCTCCTGTCTCGGCCTCGAAGATTTGCTTCACCATGCTTTACTTCCATGTCATGCAATCGTTTTAGTTACCATGCTTTACTTCCATGTCATCCAATCGTTTTAGTGTAAGTCATTATCCACTATCCCAGTTCGTACAGCGTTGATTATATCTGCTCTGCCCATTGCTTCTTCCAGGTGTTGTGTGCAATATATGGGTATATGAAAAGGTAAGTGCAGTAATGAATGTAAAACTTGGTGCGGTGCAGTACAGAATTGAACGGGATGTAAAAAGAGAGAGACCGTTGACTCTACCACATGGGGGGGAATGCAAGTTCTAATCTGGATGGTTCCAGACTAGTCCTGGATACCTGTGTGTTACGCTGGCCTTAGGTGTCCGGGCTGTCTGTGAGAGTTGCTACAGTGGCCGGGCCAGCGTGACGGAAGCTCGTGAGGTGAGATCAGGAGATCTCAAGTACGTGTCAGGCCGCAGACGGAAGGTCTGGATAATTTTCACAAGGTATTGTGTATCGGCCTGTATGATCTTACTAGTGATAGTGTACCCAAGTGATGGGTGACATAGGGACAGTCACATAATCACGAGTAGTGGATTTGCGCGAGCGGGTAGTGTTTACCCGTAGCAACCACGGAACATAGGGTGGCAGCCCAGAGCGTCCTGAGTGTGTGTTGCCTTGGTAGTGAGAATGACTGTGGCAGTATAGAAATTCATGTCTCGTGATGCCTTTCATTGTCTTGGTGTTGAAATACATTAATTTTGCTTTGACGTTCAACATGTATCCGGCGTCCTCTATTGCTGTTGGGCGGGAGTGGTGACTTGTAACTGAAACACTATTGAGCATACCTAGATACTTGGCAAGTGTGCGGTGTCTCAAGCGAACATCACACGCGGCACCAGGATGCGTTGATGATACCTGCTCTGCCCATTGCTTCTTCCAGGATGCGTTGATGATACCTGCTCTGCCCATTGCTTCTACCAGGATGCATTGATGATATCTGCTCTGCCCATTGATTCTTCCCGGATGAATTGGTGCACTGCTTGCTAGTTGGTCCACGCATGGATCTTCTATCACATACCTAATGTGCCACTGGTATGAAAAGAGTTTTTTGCTTTATTTACCTAATACTTACCTAACTCCTTCTCTGACTTTCGTCTTAGTTCCCATATTTTAATCTCTCCAATTTTGTATGCACAGGCCTAGGGAAATAACAGAAGTTTTATCAAGAAATGAAATGTAGAATATTCTTTAAACACTTTCTCTGAAATCATATCTATAATTTATCTAGTGTCTTTACATCGTTTCACAACTAATTTTTCAGCATTCAGATCCATACAGAAGCAGTGAACAATGTAAGTAAATGGTAATGAATTAACAGAAATAAGAGAAATATATGGGCAACTGCTAGTATCAACAGTTATAAGAAGTGAAGATGGCACTATATTAAACACTTTCTGAGAAGAGATGAACACATACATCAGTGAAGATGACACTATATAAAACAATGTCTGAGAAGAGATGAACACATACATCAGTGAAGATGACACTTTATAAAACACGTTCTGAGAAGAGATGAACAGAAAGCCACCAGACAGTCACAGAAATGGGAAGCAAGGAAATTGAGGAAACAAGGGTGTCCAAGAAAAACCTTGAGGTGATCGATGCTGAGAGAAGCCAAAAGTGCTGGACTGAATTCCATGCATGATACTAAAGTGACTGTACAGGACAGAATGGAATGGAGAAATGGACATGCCAGCCCTATGTGGCGTAAAACAGCACAAAGGGACAATGAATGAATAAATGAGATAATTTAACGTTCAGTTGGCAAATAATGCACCAATGCCTATAAGATGTAGCATGAAGAGAGCTGATATTATCAATGCTATATGACTAGACTGGTAGCTATGGACACATTTCTGATGGTTACACAGTTGTTTGCCCTAGGAGTAAAGCTTTGTGAAACATATCTATGCAAGTTCAAGGTCAAGATAGGAGACATTGCAATCAACTTCTCATGGGAATAACCAGCAAGGGTACCTTAGAGGTGTTGCATCAAAATACTTGCATCATCCAAAGGAATGCCCAGTGTGCAGTGACATCAATTGTGGAATAAAACATAACATGCTTCTACAGCAAGAGGCTACCGGCTCATTTTGATGCATTTCAAACCTAGTTTGGTTGCTTCAGCTTTCACATTTTAAATTTAATTTTTTTTTAAATTTTATTTGGGGGGAGGGGGTGGGGGAAGGGGTCGCCTAGCAAATCTGATAACCACAATTATAACCTCACAACAAACTGGTCATCCCATAACTCGCCCATTCCTGCACCGGTTGAAACAGCACAGTATACCCATCTCTGTCCCTTATGAAAAAATGGACACAAACTGCAGTCTCAGCAAAGCCAGTGGCATATACATGTATTTAATGCATTAGGCAGCTGTCAAAAGTATGTCTTCTAATATCTTATTTCTTTTTTTTTTTTTTTTTTTTTTTTTTTTTTTGAATTCCATGAGTGTTGACCTAATGAAGATGTCTTGAAAAAAAACTGACTCATGAAGAGAACTTACTGCCCACATCAGAAAGACGCTATCTATATTGTTTGGTCATGTGATAAGAAGGTTTGACATCAAGTCATAGGGGATCATCTGAAGTATACGAGACAGAAGGTTGTGGATAGACGTGACTACCAACAGCACAGGACATGGACTTTAAGAAGAAGAAAAAGAAGAAGAGTGCTGACACATACTGAGAATGTCTTTCGTGTGCTTTTTCTCTAGCATCATGTACCCATTATGCTCAAGACTCCTAGGGGCATGGAAATTGGCCTTTTACTTACAATTAAATCACCACCATCTGAGGTCATAACTGATATCATTATTTAATACAGGTTGACATTATTTTCTCTGGCAAACTCCAGACCTGAGGAGTGCCAGATTTGGAAAAATTCCTTATCTTTTAAAATCATTGATGGTTTGGCCATGTAACAAGACTGTCATCAGGCAGGGCACCACAGAGAGCAATGTTATAGATACAGTGGTTACAGAGCCAGAGGTCGACCATGCAGAAGATGAACTGAAATATCACAGACACTGAAAAGTACTTTATACGAAGGGTCAGTTCGAATTATCCCTTCCTGTCCTGATGCTGCGAGGCATTCCAGGTGCAGGAAAAAGCAGAAGATAAAGAAGATGCTTTCTATATTTAACAGAAAATAACAAACTGTACCATCCTTCAAAGAAATAAAATTCAATGCTGAATGCAAAGTAAATTAAATGTTAATGTCAATGAACTAAATACAACAGTTTTACAGAATCCGAGCGAGAAATCTTAAAGGACTGATTATGGATTGCCAAAATTTTTAATGTCAAACTGTATCAACATTAAATAATATCAACATTGCATAATATCAGCATTACATAATATCATCCTCACTTAATATCAACATTACATAATACCAGCAAAAGATAAAAACATAAATACTTATTTATCAGTTTGGGGCCACGGTGGTGCTTGTGTGCCAGCTCATAAGTTTTCGGTTTAAATCTGCATCAGATGAATTTATAATTGATTCATGGCTCCCAGACTGACCCAGACTACAATGAGTGCCAGAAAATGTCCTGGGAAGTAAAAAGCCCCAGTGTGATTCTTTTGGTGCAGATTGGTCTATACAAATATAGGTCCAGCACCAAATGTCCATCAAGAGGTGAGTAAAAGATGCTGGTATTGGATAGGGCGCGTAGTGAGAAAACCTGATAACAATATAATTAGAGGGGCTTTAAAATGGAAACTACAGGGCCAAAGAAATAAGTAAAGGACCCTTTTCCACAACTTTAGGCATATTAGGCATACAGGGCTAGACTTATATTTTATAGACCAATCAGCACTTGGTGGGTGATGTGGTCAGCATCACGCCTGCCAACTTTACTTCCCAGGACTGCACCGAGTACCCATTCAAGGCTGGGTCGACCTATGAGACCAGGTAATTTTTTTTTTTTCAAGTTCAGACCTGAACCCACAACCTTCTGATCCACGGACAAGCGTCTAGCCGCTAAACAATGGCGACTCCCATAGAAATAAGGTCAGATCAAAAATTGTATGGAGAAGAGAACTATAGAGAACTTTTTTTTTCAATGGGGAGGACATCTGGTAAGCTGCATGAGATAGCAGAGGATATGAAAACTTGACGTGAGTTGATTGCTGGCCAATGCTCCATTGGGGGATGAAGGGCAGAAAAGTCCAAATGTCTGAATGAATTAAAAGATATCTTTCCTTTACTGCTTCACTCTACTCTCTTTTACTTTATCAGCTGTTGCTAACTAGCTAAGCGGTGTCCATGGCTTGGGTATTGCGAGTCCGACTCATAATTATAACGTACCGCGATCGAAACCCACTGCTGACTGTGTAGATTTTTATCAGGGTAAGGGGTGTCGCAGGTCGATCCAGCCTAAAATGGGTACCAGGATGGCTGTCCTGGGAAAGTAAAGACAGCCGGCATAATACCTAGTACAAATGGTCAGTAAAAATATGCCTAATACGCGAAAAAGGCGTGAAAAGGGATCTTTACTTTTTTTTACTTAGCTATTGCTAACTGGTAGAAGAATTGTCTTATTATCCAGCTTTAATTTTATATCCCTGCTTCAGTTGAGAAAACTGCTTTCTGTTTTGTTTCTTTACTTATAATTAATGTATCTCTGATTTTTCTGAAATATTATTGAACACACACTGCTGCTTATATATACACAAACTATCCGTTTTTACGATAATGCTTTACCTGTCCTGGTAGGGTGATGTACCGATCCACTTCTTTACTGATGGAAGATGCTGCAGACAGTGTGTTCTCTGTCAGGTACTGAATTGCTTCTTCCTTGCTCCAGCTGCAATATCACAATCACTACATTATTTTTAATGAATACAACAAACAGTCAATATGTGTTGGCAGGTCACAGTTAACTCTTTCAGAACCATGCACTGTTTCTTCAACTCCTTATATGCCAAGTAGTTGAACTTTAAAGTAATAAATACTTAGATCTGAAGGAGTTCAATAGAAACACTATGGAACATTAGTAGTTAAATTAGTAATTCTGACAGAAAGGGTTATTATAACATATGTAAATGACAGAAGAATACCTTGGACTGCCAGAATAACTAACAATGATTGCCTGGAAATGGCTAATGAAAGTAGAACATTATATACAACAATGAGAAGGAGGCAAACAAAGTTTTTTGGTCATGTTGAATGTTGAACTTTGAATTAAGAATTGACATCACAGCACTCGAAACACCCTCATAAGCGCTCCGTCCCTATCTTCAGCAGCAAATTAAGAGTCCAATTCTGATGGCACCAGCAACTGTCTGACTGTATATCCGTCTCGCCCTTTTCTTGAGATCTTCGGTCATGTGATGAGAAAAGGAGCACTGGAGAATGTCATGATGACTGGTAGAAGAGGAAGAGGCAGACCAAGAGAAATGATGGTGGATGGCTTAAGACAGTGACACAGAGGAATATCATCAGTGGAACTGATCCAAAACACCAAAGACCAAGATCTGTGGAGATGTGTAAATGCCTACGCCAGCTGGCAGGGCATATAATTAGATTGGTCTATGTGCCCTTGATGATGATATGATAGAAGACAACAGAACATTATATTAGTTTTGTAATGACAAAGAAATACGTGGTGAATTGGTTGTTCCTAAAAAAGTAAAACTTTATCAGGTTTTCTACCATGTATGGAATGGCCTCGCCCGACACACTTGTTAAGTTGGTTAAACCAGCTGGGCGGCGACCAGGTGACAGACACCTTGTGGTCCAAGTTCAGACTCAGGAGTAGACCAGAAAAGTCACATATTTCCCAGATTTACAGTATCTATCATGCAATCAAAGTTGAAATGTAGCAATATCCATAGTACCGAGCCAAAGAGTTCACAACTCATAGTTTCTGGATCCAAAAAAGAAAAAATAGAATGGCTTCTACCACGCTCCAGTTGAAACTTCAGAATCAATGTTTTATTTAAATGAAAAAGTTATTTTTCTTACTGTTCTTGTTTTAATTGTGTGTTCACCTCTAACAAAGTGGCTGGCAGGTTGTGTTGATTTTCATGGCTAGGCTGCATTTTCTGCGTCTTTTGGCCCAACACATCAGATTTCCGCAAGTCCCTAGCTAGGGATATAATGACATGCTATGTTGGGGGTAGGTTTGAGTCTATTCTTCACCTCCCCACAATGGAATCCAGAACTCACACAGTGAAATTAATACATTAAACACATTATGAGCATCTCTTTAAATTCCTAATTTCGCTCTGCTATTTGCTGTAAAATGAATATCTGATCTATTGTTGATCTTTTCTGTCGGAAAACCGCCTCCTAATCACCCAGTATCTCTTTGACGTAGGGTTTTAGCCTTCTTAGCAGTACCCCCAATAGTACTGTATACCTTGTTAAGGGGGATGGGGGAGGGGGATTAAGTCTATTCTCCCACTCCCCCACAGTGGAGCCCTAGAACCCACACAATGAAAATAGTAAATTCAACGGCTAAGAGGTGCTGTAAGTTCAAAGTTAACTTTTTCAGTACCAAGCATTAAATCACTCTATTCTTAGAATGTATTACTTTATATTAATGAACAGTTGGTGCTTTTTCTTCTTATTCTTCTTCATCACGTTCACTGGCTGTAAACTCTGATGGAAAGTTATGGTTGTTCATCCACTTCTGTACTTTAGTTTCGTTCCAGAACTCAAGTTTTGCATGGACATCAGTTTTGCAGATGTACTCTTAGCTTATTAGTATGCTGACATTTGGTTCCTTACCTCTCAGACAGATGCACTCTGACTTCAAAGGAAACACCCTTAATTAGCTGATTTTATCATATGCTTATTAGGGTACCTCACATGGTGAATGTGCATTATTATAAGTCCCTTATTATTCACGATGAGGAGTGATACTGTCAGGGTCAGTGGCTGAGAAAACCTTGAAACTAATTTAATGAGGCTGAGACAAATCCAGGCTATAACCGTTCTAAAATGATCCCACCATCTCTAAAGACTAGCCAAACAAGGGGCTAAAACAAGGTGTTATAATTTTAGAAACAAAACAGAGTTCTAGGAGTTCACACAGTTAAGGTATAATCTTAGACACAAAAGAGACTATGGTTGGTTGAAATATTATATTATAAACTTTGAAACAAAACACAGTACTAGGGGTTCAAAAAAGGTGTCATAATCATAGAAACAGAACATGGTATTAGGGGCTAAAAGAATGTCTTATAACCTTATAAACAGAACAGGGTATTAGGGGTTGAATAAAGGTGTTATAATCTTAAAAACAGAACAGGATAATATAGGTTGAAGAAGGTGTTATAATCTTAAAAACAGAACAGGGTACTAGAGGCGGAAACAAGATATTATAATCTTAGAAACATAACAGGGCTCTATAGTTGAAACAAAGTATGGTTAATCTTAGAAACAAAAGACAGTACTAGGAGTTGAAACAATGTGTTGTAATGTGTGTTATACTATTAGAAACAGAACAGGGTACTAGCTATTGAAATAAGATGTTACAATCTTAAAAACAGAACAGGGTATGAGGGGTTGAAACAAGGTGTTATAATCTTAGAAACAAAACACAGTACTAGAGGTTAAAAGAATATGTTATAATCTTAGAAACAAAACACAGTACTAGAGGTTAAAAGAATATGTTATAATCTTAGAAACAAAACAAAGTACTAGAGGTTAAAAGAATATGTTATAATCTTAGAAACAAAACACAGTACTAGAGGTTAAAAGAATATGTTATAATCTTAGAAACAAAACACAGTACTAGAGGTTAAAAGAATATGTTTTAATCTTTACTAGAGGTTAAAAGAATATGTTATAATCTTAGAAACAAAACAAAGTACTACCCAAATGCATGGATCCCAGTATCCACAACCAGTCTTGCAGCTCTAAAAATCTCAAATTTATAGCGGCCCAACCTGTAATTCAAGTCAAAGGGTGTGGATAAATAATCTTAGTAAATAGGTAATGTTAAAGAAACACATACATAAGAAATGTGTAATGGTGAACTACGTCTATCTCCATAAACAAGTATTTTTGTAGTTTCCCCTATAGTACACTCTTCTTTCAATTTCCTTATAATTTGCTCAAGGGTCAAGTTGAAAAAAAGCGGGGACAGAGCACTACCTTGTTATAGACTAGATATTCTTTGAAAATGGTCTGACTTGCTGCATTAATATATTACTAGGCTATCCTCCCAAATAAAATGGAGGAAGCTGCAGGAGATGCGGTAGCTACTGCTCGTGAATCCCAGCCATCTTGTTTAGCCCCCACCCCCTCCGCGCGTAGCAGCATAAGGGAATACTCTCGGCAGTGGCGTCATAGTCACCGGAAAGAGGTCCGCAATTTATAAATGACTGAAGCCCTGTTAGGGTATTTTCTTAGCCTCTAAAATTTGGGACCGTTATTCTCAGGATAGCCTATTACTATATTAAAAGTGTCTTGAATACATAGTTTGGTCATGGTGATTAACTTCACTGGTATTCCAAAGTCCTTCATAGTGTTGCATAGACTGTTTCTATGTACACTATCATATGCCTAAAAATGCACAAAAATTTACATTTCTTGTATATTCCCAATTTTGCTCCGCTATTTGCCGTACAATGAATATCTGATCTATTGTTGATCTGTTCTGTTAGAAACTGCCAGGTAATCACCTAATATATTTTTGATGTATGGTTTTAGCCTGTTTAGCAGTACCCCTGATAGTATCTTATAGCTTGTAGACAATAGAAATGTTCCTCTATAATTTTCACATTTTTGGCTGTCTCCTTTCTTTAAAATGAGTATAAATAATGACTCTTCCCACTCATGTGGTAATTTCTCCAATCTCCAAGCTAGTTTTATTATTCACATTCTTTCAATATAATGCATGGCCACCTTCTTTTATCATGTCAGCAGCAAATAAATCCATCAGGTGTCTATATACAAATAAGAAGTACTGCATGAGTTAGCGCCGCAGGCGCAACGATTCTTGGCTATCAAAACTGGGATGTTTTTGTATGTCTACATTCGTTGGTGGTGACTCTCACCCCCACCTCCCCTCTCCCCTCAACCCTACACCCGAGAGGGAGAAATCAGTTACATGGAGCATAGGAATAGAAAAATACTGATGTTTCCATACTCTTGAAATGTTGCACAGTAAGCAGTGAGGAGACGGAAAAAGGCAACAGTAACACCATTCACAATAAAGAAAACACGACTCTCCCGCAACATAGGAGATGTCCAGTGACTTAAGGAGGCATGAATGGCAAGGGAAGTTACTATAATCCTGGGCCTGGAAACATTAACAGTGCCTTAGATTGCTACTGTAATAGTCACTTTGGTGAGTACCTTTTTAAGACAATTTTGCATGAGTACTGGCACCTTTTTTTTCTATAAAAATTGCCTTGTTGATACTCAGTTAAGGTGGTCTACTTGGAAGTTAAGATACTAAATAGGAAGTCTATAGCAACGATATTGTTGCAAATGTGTGCATTTTCAGAGCAAAACATATTAATAAATATTAAAATAATTGTGTATAATAATATTTTTTCATAGAAATAAGGAAGCGGCAATATCATCAAATAAATGATAAACTTACAACTCGATGCTGTCTTCATATAAGTTCAGTTCTTCCCCAAGAGACTCTGCATACAAACCCCAGCCCTGAAAAAAAATGAATTTAGCTGTAATATTTTCCAGTTCATTTTCCTGACACTGGACAGACTGTAACAATGTTCAGTTAAACATGAATCTATGACAGGTCTGGCAAACCAGTGGAAGATTTAACTACATACATGGTGATGCCCAAGAAAAATTTAGGAGATGTGAGAGTGTGCGAAATAAGTTCAACAAACAAGACCGGTATAGAGTAGGAACGTTAAATATGTGTGATTGTGCTACTAGTGCCAAACACTGACCCTTACTGCAACCAATGAGGGGAAGATCGTAACAACAGAGATGAAATTCCTTAGGAGAGCTGCCGGTGTGACAAGAAGAAATCAAACCAGGAATGAAGAAATTCGAAGAAGACTAGGACTGAAACCAAGCATACAATTCATCAAAGAACAACAAATGAAATAGTTTGGCCACTTGACGAGAATGCCTTGGTATTAACTGCCACAGAGAGCCATGCTGAAGAAATATAATAAACACAGAGCATGGGGAAGACCACGCAAGAGAGGGAGCAACATCACCAGGAGCAACCTAACAGAAATTAACACCAACTTGTACAATTCATTGGAAAAAGCACACAAGAGAGAAGAAGAAGGACACACTGTTCTTTGTGGTTTTGTAATTTTTTTTTTTAATGTAATTTCCCTTTGAGACCAATACAACCCTAGCTTACTTATTCTGCAATAATACAAAATGTTACAGTTCCCACCCAGGTGATTTGATTATCTGTACAGATGGTTCTGGTTGAGTGGCAGAAGAAGTGCAAGGGAGTTCATAGCAAAAGCGAATGAACATCGTTTAGTGCAACAAAGCTTGCAACATCTAGTTTGAGAATGGGGATGAAGGCAGCAACTGCAGCATTCCACTTGGTTAAAAACCAGATTTACACACATGTCATAATTGACTGACAGATTATGATGAGAAAGGTGGAGACAGGTATGCTCCATGCAGAATGGCAAGCACTACTACAGAGGTCCCAGAGAGTTAGCATCCTTTGGATATTTTCTCCAGGAATCCTGGTGAGTTTGGAAATGAACAGGCAGATAGACTGACCGATTCTGCTGTGATTTTGATTCCTAATTCAATATTTAATACAGAATATTCTGGGTTGAGTTTTTTTTTAAAGTAGGTTGACTTTTAAATTTTGAAAATACAGTACACTCTATATCTACTTTCCAGCCTTTCAGTCAAAATGTCTTATAGGAGATCTGCAACATTTGGCCAGTCTTACTGGAACTGTCCCCTTCTTCCCATGTGGGTTACGAAAACCCATACGGGTGAAAGGGGGGAGGGGAAGGCATGATGTTGACCACCATGTTGGCGTAAAAAGGGGAAAAGGCTCCTTTGCTTTTATTAACTTACTATATTGGGATGGGGAGGGGGGGGGGCACAAAACAGACTCACTGTCCTCTTATAAGCATGTTGGTGACTAAATTACGTATTTGCTGAAATTTGATGTGTTGGGGGCGAAGGGCCCAAGCCTAGCTGTAAACCACAACACCATGTGCCAACATACAGAAAAGAAAAAGAAAAAATCAGGAATAGGAAAACACACTGTCTACACCAGTTTAGACAAAATACTGGTTATATCGTCATATGTATTTCTGATGGTGTTTTCCTTGTAAGATCAAGAGCAATCCTCCTGGACCAGTCAATTATATGATTTCCATGTCAGAACACAAAGTTTTTAGAACGCATTTTCTCATCTTTGGATAATGTGAGTATCCTTCCCAATGTGCCTTACCTTCTGAAGCTGCTGACACAAGTGGGATGTCATATTTAGTAAACACCGCCCACCATTTGTCACTAAGAGAGAACAGGTGGTACTTTAGCTCAGTCAGATCTGATCAAGATCTGCCAGAGAATGAGAAACAGGCAGAGACACAGAGACTGAAGACAGATATTTACATAAAACGAGTTAATAATATATAATGTATTTCCTTCCATGCTTTCGTCCTCAGCACTCACCGGCTGTAAACTCTGGCGGTAAGTTCTGGTTGTATGTCAACTTTTGGACACTTCTTATTGTTTCAGAACTTCAATTTTGTGTGTACATACATTTTACAGATCTGGTATGTTTGTATTCAGACGTCGGTGCCCCACCTCTCAGGAAGATGCACTTCGAATTCAAATGAAACACTCCCAATTAGTTGCATTTTAGGACATGCTTGTTTGGGGCAGAGAGTCTATTCTTGTTTTACCCCATCAATGGGGCTTCTAACCCCCACAGGGATTACATTTGTATCTTATACATATTGCCATGGTAGAGTGGTGGCTAGATGCTTGATTGCCAACTGAAAGGTCTTAGGTTTAAATCCCCATTGTGCAGATTTAAAGAAAATAATTTACCCCGTCTCCTAAATCAAACCAGCCTAAAATATGTACCAGGGAATATTTTGGACTATAAACCAGGAAGTAAAGGACCCTTTCACACATCCTTAGGCATACAGGGCATATATTACCATTCAGTGGGTGATGTGGTCACCATTATACTGAATGCTTTTACTTCCTAGGATTGTAGGTGGTACTCACTTTAGGCTGAGTCCCGTTGTGGGCCAAAGTGGGTTTTTGAAAAATCTGACTTAGTGCTGATTAGGGCCTTTGAACTTTGGGCCAGCAGGCTAGCTTTTAGTCATTATGTCATTGTTAAATGTTGAATGTTGAATTGAGAATCAACATCATTGCACTCAGGACTAAATGTGACCTCTGAAGTGATACCTGCCACTCTTCATGGAGCATACCTGTCTCCATCTTTCTCAACATGCTCTGTAAGTCAGTGACAATATCGTCATGTATGTACAGCTGATTCTCAAGTTAGCAGAAGGCAGCAGTGACTGCCTCCACTTCCATTCTCAAACTAGACATTGTGATATATGCCAGGCTTTGTTGCACTAAGTGATATGCCATGGTGGCTCCTAGGAATTAAAAGCTGGCATAATGCTGGCCTCATCCATCAAGTGCAGACCGGTCTACAAAGACATGAGCCTTCCACCCTATGCCTGATTTACCTCTGGTCTGAAAAAGGTCCTGTGAAGTGAAGTGGTTAAATCGTTTGCCCCGCACTCTAGAGGGTTGTGGGTTCATTTCATGGCTGCACTATTCAATTCGCGAGTGCAATTTTTATGGAGATCTCTGGGAACTGTCACCAGAGTTACAGAGTTTGTGCTTTGTGTGACACTCGCAGCAGGCAGCCAGCCATGCTGGTGAGAGAGACCAAGAATTATGGAATAAAACCCAGTGTAATGAAGTCTTACTTTACTTAAAAACACCATGCCCTAAACTGCAGCATGATTTAACCTTTCATACCAGATTTCACAAGCTCAACAACAGACCTAACTCACTTCAGCATAGGCAGTGTTGCAGCCAAATCTGGCTGGTGCTATGTGGTATTTCATGTCTCCAATGTACCTGCGGAAATTTGGTAGGTGTGTGGACGCAAGGGCATAGACTCCCTGGAAATAACACATGGACACAATTGATAAAAGATATACTGCAATAAAAAGAGGTTGAAAATGTCACAGATTTTGAATATTTAAGCTCAGTAATGAAGAACAATGGCGTTTGCTCAAAAGAGGTCAGAAAAAGACTTGCTTTAGCAATACAGAGACTAGATGGTTGGTAGTTGCACCCCACCAGGACATCACACAAGCAATAAATACCCGGTGACACAAAGTGCCACAATACGGATGAGGATCTCCAGCGGAGAGGTCCCAGAAACCCCTTTCAGCCATTATGGCCATATCTATTGCTATACCGTATTTATGGCCCAGCTATATTAAGGGCCCCCGGCAGAAGCCAAGGTGGGCCTTCAAATAACAAAAAATTGCATCCCACATGGAGACGATTTATGTAATTAAACAATAATACAGAGACTAAACAGCATAAAAAGCCTATGTCATAGCATCTGCAAGCAAGTTGGAGTAAAAATTGTGAAATTACCTATCTTTCTAATTGCAACTTATGAATGGGAGTCATGGATATAGATGCAGGACATTGGAGATGCACTGGCTATGAAAGCACACTGGGCTGGAGAATGGGCCAGAAAAAGAGAAACTTTCAGGAGTGCTGTGAAGAGAGCGATGTTCTGTAAAGGACATGCTGATGTACTGATTGATTGATTGATTAACTGTAATAATGACAGGAGCAGTCACATTTAATGAGAGAATTACCAATGCTGAGTCCAGGAGATAACTAAACAAACCTGTTCATTTAGTCAAATAGAAATACTAAGACATTGGCATCTGTGTTTTTTTTTTAATCTAAAATACCCGGTTTGAATAGTCACAACTAAGTTTACTCAGTAGCCAAAATGTTGGGAAATGGGGATTGTCACGGGACAGAAGCCCACAAGCCCAGCATAGAATGTGAATTATTACATTACAATTTGAAAGTAATCCCCAGGCCACATACTGTGCCTCTGCGGGCCAGATTTTAATAGCCAAGAGTTAAAGTAACAATTTCTTAGGAAACAACCAATAAGAGTAACAATTTCTTTTGGCTGAACCACTTAAAGTAACAATCCCTTAGACTAGAACCAGTTAAAGTAATAATTTATTAGGATAGGATCCGTTAAATTAACAATTTGGTAGTATTGAACCAATTAAAGTAACAACTTCTTTTTTAGAACCTCTCAAAGAAACAATTTCTTAAAAGAGAACTAGTTACGAGAAATAATATCTTAGGAGAGGACCAACGTGAAATTGCAAAATAGACTGTCAATAATGCTAATGATGGAGAGAAGAAAGAAAACAGATACTTAATTAAAAGACAAAGGATCATGGTGTGATGACAATGATAATTATCATCACCATTATTATCATGATCACAGAGTCCATGTTAGTCCGGATTTGGAATAAGACTTAAGTCCAGAAATGGATGAAAAACCAGAACTTTCCACCTTAACTCTTTGAGTCCCAAGGAACGCATCATACGTTCACATGTTTCTACCTAGAAGCCCAATGAACGCATGATGAGCCGATTTTATGACACTTTTTACTACCCCCTGGGCCTGTGATGCTAAATCCCCTGGGACTCAAAGAGTTAACAACCAGTGAACGCAAAGAAGAAAAAGAAGAAAGACGTTTCTAACCTGTAGGTGATGCCCAGGCTCTCCTTCGTGTAGACTCAGAGCCATCAGCTGCAGTGGGAGACTGAGGAAATTGCATTTTATATAAAGTGTTTCTAAAAGATATGTAAAGGGAAGAGGATTGACTTCATTTCATCTGACTGTATTCTTCTTATTTTTCCTTAGCATTCACCTGCTGTAAACTCCAGCAGAAAGTTCTGGTTGTTTGTCTGTTACTGTACTTTGATCTTATTCCAGGAGTTGAGTTTGTTTTGCATGCACCTTCATTTTACATTTCTGCCAAATTTGTATGTAGACTGTTGGTTCCTTGCCTCCCAGGTGGATGCATTCTGACTTTGATGTAAACATCCCTAATTAGTAGGGCGAACATATCATGCCATTTTCACAGGAAAAGTATCATTTTTCAGGTATGCCCAGCCCGTCTGTCGATACGCCCCACACCCCCCTCCCCACCCCAATAAATTTTTTTAAGTATCAAAGCGATGATTTAGGCCTACCTTCAAAAAAACAAAAAAAAAGATACTGTCTTGCTCAAAACAGGACAATATGGTCACCCTACTATTTAGTTGTCTTTTACAACATGCTTGTTGGGGGGGGGGGGGGGGGGGGGGGGTGGGGGGGGGCGTGGGTCTATTCTTTTTCTCCTAAAATGGTGCCTCGGAAACCATATGGGAAAAATTGTACCCTATACAGCTGAGGCTCTCTGTGCAGAGTCACTGTTTCTCCACTAAGAGTGTTGAATAGAGCACAGAATTTTGCAACTCCAGTGACAATCCTCAAAAATTTCTAGAGCACATGTACTCATATACTAAAAGACAAATTCGCTAACTGAACTAATGACCTTCACAGCACAAGGAAAACAGTTTTTAATAACTTTACAATGGAGACCATTTCAAAGAGTATTTGGTCACAGGACTTGGGTTTCATAAATTAAAAACAAGTGCCAAAAAACCATCCCTGGTGGATTTTTCCAACAGCAGCCATAGCAATCTACAGTCTAAATGAAAATGATCAACTGCGGACAGCAATGACTGTTTACTGTGTAAATGGAATTAAACCAGCAAGTATTTTTGGCCAAAGTCCTTTGGCAGCAAGTAAACATTGTGAAGCCATGCAGACAGATCCTCATGGTGTGCACAGAATAGCTTATGCGATCTGATCGACACTCTACACTCAGAGGAAAGGCAAGATGGATATAAATAATCAGATTGTTACTGGCACCATCAGAATTGGAACTCCTGAAGATGAAAATGGATTGTTTATGGGAATATCCCAAATGCTGTGACCTCAGGCTTAGCTCCACACCAGCAACATGGAATTAATCCATTGTAAGAAGCAACCAATGTCTTCTGTCTAAATAAATATCGTCCAGCGACAGCAAAGTAAATCTACTGTCTAAAATATTATCCGGTGTGAACAGCAATAGCTGTATACTGTCTAACTGAAAATCATCCAGTATGAGCAGCAACGGATGTCTACTTCTTCTTCTTCTTCAGCATTCCAAGTCTTCAGGTTCATTGCTGCAGATATCACCTGCCTCCACCCATCTCTCCATTTATCTCCCTTGTGTATACAGTTTTTACTTCTCTGTCATCTGACATTCTTTCAATATGTCCCAACCATTTCAGTTTATTAGCTCTTATGATGCCAGCGATCAATGGTGATTTAAACAGATTATGAATTTCATTGTTGCTTCTCACTTTCCATTCCCCGCTGTTGGCATCTTTGATGGGTCATCTGAAATTAAGGCTAAGATATCTGCTTTGTGACAAGATAAAGTTTTATGTTTGGGGTGTTGGCCCCATGCTTCAAAACCCAACCTGGAGGACCAGGGTGTCTCTCCTCGTCTGTTCTCTACCCTTCGACCTTTCCGGCTTGGGAGGTATGGCTCTCTACTGTCTATGAAAATCATCCAATGTGAGCAGAAATAGCTGTATAATGTCTAAATGAAAATCATCCTGTGTGATCAATGGCTGTATACCGTCTTAATGAAAATCATCCAGTATGTTATCAGCAATGGCTGTATACTTTCTAAATGAAAATCATCTACTGTGATCAGCAATAGCTGTATACTCTGTAAATGAAAATCATCCAGTGTGATCAGCCAAGGCTATATACTGTCTAAATGAAAATCATCCATTGTGATCAGCAATAGCTCTATACTGTCTAACTGTAAATCATCCAGTGTTATCAGCAATAGCTATATACTTTCTAAATGAAAATCATCCTGTGTAATCAGCCATGGCTATATACTGTCTAAATAAAAATCATCCACTGTGATCAGCAAAAGCTCTATACTGTGTAACTGTAAATCATTCAGAGTGAGCAGCAATGGCTATCTACTGTCTAAATAAACCACAGACATACCAGTGTTCATAGTCATAGCTGTTGATGTAGAAGCACCCTTCTCTTGAGCCATCAGGTGTTCCCGTAAGATATAAACCCCCAGGCATCTCGCTGAGATAATCTGGTGGCAGTGAAACTCTAAAAAACAAATATTAATAACAGTAATGTCAAAGCTTTACTAATGAGTTGTTAAATGTTGGTTGGCTGTAAATCCTCTAATAAATGTGAGTTTTAATTTTTAACTCTCTCGCCCATGGGAACACTTATCAAACTGAACATGAGACCTTTGGAATTCCAGAAAATATACTTAAAAAACATGCTACAATATTTGTAACGTAGCGGCGCGGAGGGAGGCTAAATTAGATGGGGTAAGTTAACATGGGGTAAGTTAACTTTATTGTACCAAAAACATTATTGTTCTACAGGTGATTATTAAATTTTTTTTTTTTTTTTTTAAATTCTACATTTGTTAATAACTTTTTCATTAATAGATATTTACAGGTATAAAGGGAGTAATCAAAAAACATGAACAAAGTAAAACATTAAATGGAATACTTTTTCCAATGACCTAAATCTAATGTGACATCAACTTGGCTTTAAAAATGCCATTTGGCTTAAATTGTGCCACCCCATTTGAAGCTAACTTTAGTTAATGTTTTTGTAACCTTATCTCCTAAACATTTAGGCAAGTGTGAAAACAGCCAATAGCATTAACTATGTGCCTCGTAAACAGATCAGTGTAGGCAAGTTAGAAAAGGGGCATTTTGAGGAAATTTGACCCAACCTGAAGTGCTGGTTGTATGGCTTCTCTGGGTAAAGGGTTAACCTGATCCACTAGTAATTAACTCTTTTGGTACCATTCAACAGTTCATACTGGTGATTATTTGATTATTGTGGAGATTTTTTTTAACCTGAATTGTCAGTTCTACTCCTGCTGCCAAAGTGTTATTTTAACTTTTTTGGACTCAAATACTGGGAACTTACTATTATAATTTTTCAGGAAATTATAAGCCTAATAATTATAATCTGGTACAAAAAGAGTTCAGCCACCTCAACCCTAAATTGGGATTGTAGGCTTTATATCAAAGTAAAGTTGATGTAAAGGCTGTTCTCCTAAACCAGTAAAAAAGCCCCATCTTCATGAGAGTTATGTTCCAGATGTTTCCTGTCCCTCAAAAACCAGCAAGGTGTACAAGACCAGTTCTTCTATTTCTGTATTAAAAGAGCAGCTAGCATTTGTGTAGTGGTCTACAGCTAGGCTGAAATATTTGCATGGTGTCAGACGATCTTCTTCTTCCTGTTTATAACTCATGGCAGAAAAGGCTTATAGTAAACATTGAATAAGAAGGTATTCAAATATTTTTTTAAAGCAACAAAACAAAACACACAAAATATTGACAGTCTTACTTACTTCATTGGGGATGGAGGAAGGTTTTTAAAACACAATGATAGTTTTGGTCTAATTCTCCTGTAACATATATCCTGCACATATTCTAGCACATGTTCCTGAAAGATGAGGGAAAATATTTTCTATTTAATCATTATTGTGTAGAAACTAAATTTAAAGCGAGTCATGTGGTTGGGGTGGGAACCATGGTAGTATAATGAGTAGACCAGTTAAAGCGAGTCATGTGGTTGGAGTGGGAGCCATGATAGTATAATGACAAGACCAGTTAAAGCAAGTCATGTGGTTGGGATGGGAGCCATGGTAGTATAATGAGTAGACCAGTTAAAGCGAGTCATGTGGTTGGGATGGGAGCCATGGTAGTATAATGAGTAGACCAGTTAAAGCAAGTCATGTGGTTGGGGTGGGAGCCATGATAGTATAATGACAAGACCAGTTAAAGCAAGTCATGTGGTTGGGATGGGAGCCATGGTAGTATAATGAGTAGACCAGTTAAAGCGAGTCATGTGGTTGGGGTGGGAGCCATGGTAGTATAATGACAAGACCAGTTAAAGCAAGTCATGTGGTTGGGATGGGAGCCATGGTAGTATAATGAGTAGACCAGTTAAAGCAAGTCATGTGGTTGGGGTGGGAGCCATGATAGTATAATGACAAGACCAGTTAAAGCAAGTCATGTGGTTGGGATGGGAGCCATGGTAGTATAATGAGTAGACCAGTTAAAGCGAGTCATGTGGTTGGGATGGGAGCCATGGTAGTATAATGAGTAGACCTGTTGAAGCAAGTCATGTGGTTGGGGTGGGAGCCATGGTAGTATAATGAGTAGACCAGTTAAAGCAAGTCATGTGGTTGGGATGGGAGCCATGGTAGTATAATGAGTAGACCAGTTAAAGCAAGTCATGTGGTTGGGATGGGAGCCATGGTAGTATAATGAGTAGACCTGTTGAAGCAAGTCATGTGGTTGGGATGGGAGCCATGGTAGTATAATGAGTAAACCAGTTAAAGCGAGTCATGTGGTTGGGATGGGAGCCATGGTAGTATAATGAGTAGACCAGTTAAAGCAAGTCATGTGGTTGGGATGGGAGCCATGGTAGTATAATGAGTAGACCTGTTGAAGCAAGTCATGTGGTTGGGATGGGAGCCATGATAGTATAATGACAAGACCAGTTAAAGCAAGTCATGTGGTTGGGATGGGAGCCATGGTAGTATAATGAGTAGACCTGTTGAAGCAAGTCATGTGGTTGGGATGGGAGCCATGATAGTATAATGACAAGACCAGTTAAAGCAAGTCATGTGGTTGGGGTGGGAGCCATGGTAGTATAATGACTAGACCTGTTGAAGCAAGTCATGTGGTTGGGATGGGAGCCATGGCAGAATAATGACTTCTTCTTCTTCTTCTCTTCCACCTTGTACCTCATCGAAGTGTCGGGGGGAGATGTAATGTTCATTGATGGGCTCTGTCAAGAGCACTATTATGACTGAAGTTCATTTTTGTAAGGCTGTTCTTAATGCCATCACTCCATCTTTTCCGAGGTCTTCCACTGTGGCGGATAGTACCAGGGCATTCTTGTTAGGTGTCAAAACCACTTCATTTGTTGTTCTTTGATGACCTGTAAGACTGGCTTTATTCCTAGCATTCGTCTGATTTCATGATTTCGTATTCTGTCAGTATAATGACTAGACCTGTTAAAGCAAGTCATGTGGTTGGGATGGGAGCCATGTTAGTATAATGACTAGACCTGTTAAAGCGAGTCATACAAAATCAAAGGGATAAAGGAAGATAGACACACACAAACACAGAGTCAGACTGATAAACTGAGGTGAAAAAAGATAGGAAGGATGTAAGGTGAGCTGCATGCACTTGTAATGGGTAGGGTGACTTGACCTGATTTGACTGAGTGCTGATGCTTCATGACAGGATAAAGGGCAAAAAAAAAGGTATGTGTGTGTGCGTGCGTTCGTGCGTATGTGCATGTGTGTGTGTGTGTGTATATATACATATATATATATATATATATATATATATATATATATATATATATATATATATATGAAGAATATTTTACGCAATCTTTCTTTGTCAATTAAGATGAGAAAGAGAATTCTTAAAAGCTTTATAAATCACATCTTGATTTACGGAAGTTAACTGTGGAAAGTTGGTAGATTAGTGAAATAATTTTTGGAAGCTGGGGAGATGTGGTTTTAAAGAGGAATGTTGAGAATACTTTGGACAGATACATGGGTAATGAGGATGTCTTGAAAGAAAGTGACTCACACAGAGAACTGATTGCCCACTTCAGAAGGAGACAATCTACATTCTTTGGTCAAGTCATGAGAAGGAGAAAACTGGAGTACATCATAACAGTAGGAAAGCTAGAGAGAAGGAGATGTGGAGGGAAGCTGAGAGAAAAGATGCTGGACAGTTTGACATTATGGCATCTGTGTCAGAGTTGATTGAAAGTACATGAGACAGAAGGTTGTGGATAGACATGACTACCAACACCACACGGCACTTTAAGAAGGTATATACACACGCACACGCGTGTGTGCGCACACACACACACACACACACACACACACACACACACACACACAATTCAATTTTTGTGTTAAAGTATTAGACCATGAATATATTTACCTTTGAATGAAAGAATTTTTGTGTTAAAGTATTAGACAATGAATATATTTACCTTTGAATTAAAGAATTTTTGTGTTAAAGTATTAGACCATGAATATATTTACCTTTGAATGAAAGAATTTTTGTGTTAAAGTATTAGACCATGAATATATTTACCTTTGAATGAAAGAATTTTTGTGTTAAAGTATTAGACAATGAATATATTTACCTTTGCATGTAAGAATTTTTGTGTTTAAGTATTAGACCATGAATATATTTACCTTTGAATGAAAGAATTTTTGTGTTAAAGTATTAGAAAATGAATATATTTACCTTTGCATGAAAGAATTTTTGTGTTAAAGTATTAGACCATGAATATATTTACCTTTGAATGAAAGAATTTTTTAAATTTTTGTGTTTAAGTATTAGACCATGAATATATTTACCTTTGAATGAAAGAATTGTTGTGTTAAAGTATTAGACAATGAATATATTTACCTTTGAATGAAAGAATTTTTGTGTTAAAGTATTAGACCATGAATATATTTACCTTTGAATGAAAGAATTTTTGTGTATTAGACCATGAATATATTTACCTTTGAATGAAAGAATTTTTGTGTTAAAGTATTAGAAAATGAAAATATTTACTTTTGAATAAAAGAATTTTTGTGTTAAAGTATTAGACAATGAATATATTTACCATTGAATGAAAGAATTGTTGTGTTAAAATATTAGAAAATGAATATATTTACCTTTGAATGAAAGAATTTTTGTGTTTAAGTATTAGATAATGAATATATTTACCTTTGAATGAAAGAATTTTTGTGTTAAAGTATTAGACCATAAAAATATTTACCTTTGAATGAAAGAATTTTTGTGTTAAAGTATTAGACCATAAAAATATTTACCTTTGAATGAAAGAAATTTTGTGTTAAAGTATTAGACCATGAATATATTTACCTTTGAATGAAAGAATTTTTGTGTTTAAGTATTAGATAATGAATATATTTACCTTTGAATGAAAGAATGTTTGTGTTAAAGTATTAGACAATGAATATATTTACCTTTGAATGAAAGAATTTTTGAAACCTCTGGCTCACTGAGTCAGAGATTTCAGAAAATGTCTGTCCAAGCTTTTCTTCAGCAGCAAGTTTCATAATCTGCCCTCGGATACGAGAAACTTCCTGAAGGCCTATATTGTGCACTTCTTGCGGGGTCATAGGACAGGTAAGGTAAAAGTTCAACGCTTGCTGATACCAACCAGTTCCACCTTTTACTGTATCAATGCTTTCTTTAGGTCTTAGATGATTGAAATATTCCTGTTGTAAATAAAATACATTCATAATTGACATAGAGTAAGCTGCATGTTTTATGACATAATTAAAGAAACATTAGTTGCATATTTTTCACAGAACATGGCAAACCACTCCTGGCATTTTTTAGATGTTGTGTGGCTTTACAGAAGAATGATGAGAATACCAAGGACAGATTTAAAAAAAAGTAATGAAGATGTCTTGAAAGAAAGTGACTCACGAACAGGACTAACCACTAACGTTTATTACAAGATTATTTTCACTGCATGTTGGGAATACCAAAAAGTACTCTGATCTTCTACTAGGCATGTTCTTTAATGTATTTATGCTTGTGACTACTACTGTGTATTAGCTGATGTTGCAATTCTGGGCTCTTGCATGAATTTCACAATGCCCCCTCCGAGCTGATCTACCCAGACTTCGCTTCCGAGTCAGGGAGAAATATATTCATTTTTTATGTCTTTGATTTGAGTTGCCTCTCACATAGCATTATATATTTTTAATACAAACAGGCACACATAGGTAAGTTTTAAGCACAAACATGAATGGTTATCTCAGTAACCAATAGGTGTTGGAATTTATTAAATAAACTCTACAAACAAGTAACAACAAATACCTCTTTAAAGTAAGTTTTCAAACTGCCAAGTGCAGGAAAAATCCCAGAGATAATTAATTCTTTGGCTTTGATTTTAAACTCCTCCCTGGAATATAATATCATTTTTTAAAGTAAATTCAAATGTAAAAATTAAATCACAAAACTTGGCATGTGATCAATTAAAGATTTAGGAAAAATAGCCCTAAACAAAATTTTAAAAATAATTTAACATCAGTGTCCATTCAAAAACATGTGCTTACAGTAATGTACAAGAACATCTACATCAGGGCTAGTCAACTAAGGTTGCTCAATGGCCAAAATTTTGACAAAATTGATTGTAAGGGGCCAGAGGTCCAAGCCAAAGTTTAGAAAGATCACTGTTCTGGTAATGATGCTAGGCTTCTGCAGGTTGCAGTCAGCCCACGAGCCACCAATTGAATGGCCTTGATCTACAATTATCTGTTAGATCTACAGTCACAATTATCTAGTAGATCTACAGTAACAATTATCTGTTAGATCTACAGTCACAATTATCTAGTAGATCTACGGTAACAATTATCTGTTAGATCTACAGTCACAATTATCTAGTAGATCTACAGTAACAATTATCTGTTAGATCTACAGTCACAATTATCTAGTAGATGTACAGTAACAATTATCTGTTAGATCTACAGTCACAATTATCTAGTAGATCTACGGTAACAATTATCTGTTAGATCTACAGTCACAATTATCTAGTAGATCTACAGCAAAAATCATCTGGTAGATCTACAGTAACAATTATCAAGTAGATCTGCAGTAACAATTATCTGGTAGATCTACAGTAACAATTATCAAGTAGATCTACAGTAACAATTATCTGGTAGATCTACAGTAACAATTATCAAGTAGATCTGCAGTAACAATTATCTGGTAGATCTACAGTAACAGTTATCTGGTAGATCTACAGTAACAGTTATCTGGTAGATCTACAGTAACAATTATCTGGTAGATCTACAGTGACAATTATCTAGTAGATCTACAGTAACAGTTATCTGGTAGATCTACAGTGACAATTATCTGGTTGATCTTCAGTAACAGTTATCTGGTAACCACTTTACAAAGCAGGGTTAACCTCAGAACTTTACTGTTTGCAGCAAGTTCAAAATTTGTAACAACTAGTGTTTAATTTTTATGAACCAGTTTTGTTTGATGTTCAGTTTTTATAGAATCTGTTTGGGAAAAAATATTTATGTAAAATAATAGTTTGTTTCTTACAATTTATCATCAGGTATTCGAGGATGGTCAACTTTAAATGGCTGCATTAAACCAAGGTCTTCAACAGATGTGGCTAACATCTTTTCTATTTGATTAGGTATCACATCCTGTGGACAAATTACATTAACAAAACAAATTAAAGAAATAAAACAAATTAAGTCAAAATATTTAGTTAAAGTAATATAATCAATGAAAGTCACTCAACAAATCACAGTAATATAACAGATGTAAATAATATAACAAATGAAACTAATTTAACAAATCTTCTTCTTCTCAGAGTCCATGCCGTGAGTCTTTGGTAGTCATGTCTATCCACAACCTTCTGTCTCCTGTACATTTAATCAACTCTGGCACAGATGATCTTCCATGACATGATGTCAAATTGTTCTTCAATGCCACAATGTCAAACTTTCCAACATCTATTTTTTTTTCAGTCTCTCTCTGCCTCTCCTTTCCTCCAGCATACCTACCATCACGAGGTACTCCAGTTTTCTCCTTCTTATCACATAACCGAAGATTGTAGATTGTTTCTTTCTGATGTGGGCAATCAGTTCTCTTCATAAGTAAGTTTCTTTCAAGACATCTTCATTACTCTTTTTTAATTTGTCCAGGCTATTCTTATCATTTGTATATAAAACCACATCTTTGCAGCTTCCAAATAAGTGTTCACTAATTTACTAACTGTTCATGATTCATATCCATATATCAATACCGGCTTTTAAGAATTTTCTTTCTCATCTCAATTGACAAAGAAAGATTGTATCTCTACAACAATCGATAACAAATCATGCTGATGTAATAAATGGCAGTAATTTAATTATTCAGATTACTATAACAAAGGGAAGTAATGTAACAAAGTGAAGAAACATATTAATTTAAGTATTATAACAGATGAAAGTAATGATTTGATTTGATTTGATTCAAGAACCGACATCACATCACTCAGGGCATTCCCATAAGCACTCCGTCCTTATCTTCAGCAGCCAGCGAAGAGTTCCGATACTAATGGTGCCAGTAGCTTTCTGATTAAACGTCCGTCTTGCCTTTCCTCTGAGCCTTAAGCTTCTGCCAGAACCTCTCGTCACCCCCATCTGCATCAATCTCACCAGACTGTGGTGATCCATCTGCTCCTCCGCATTGTACACACTCTCCCACAAGGCACTAGCCACGTCTGCCCTATCATGTAGCAGTATTCCACCAAGTTGTGAAGAGCCAGCTAGTCTGTCCGCCTGTTCATTTCCCAACACACCGGTGTGACCCCCGTGAAAAAATCCAGACAATGCTCCTCACTCGTGTCCTCCGCAGCAAAGCATGCCACTCTGCATGAAGCATACCTGTTCTGATCTTCCTCAGCATGCTTTCTGAATCAGTTACAATTACAATGTGTGTGTGTGTTGTGTTCTCTAGCCAGTAGAAAGCTGCAGTGACCGCCTCCACCTCCATTCTTAAGCTGAATGTTGTGGTATCATATGTTATACTCTCCTGCACCAAACGTCGACCATTAACTTTTGCTAAAAAGCCCCAAGCACTTCTTTTGCCTCTTGACAAGGAACCCTCTGTGTAAATGATCAAATCCTCTGAACGAGCATTATCTTGAATTAATTGCTGAATTTCCACCTCTGTGGCACCTGCTAGCCAGTCTCTGCATTCCCGGCTCAGCGTGATTATGACTCTACTATCTAATCTAGATGAAAGTAATCAAACCAGTCAAAGTAATACAACAAATCTAATTAGTATAACAAATAAAAGTGATATAAAACATCAAGGTATTATAACAAATTGAACTAATATAACAAAAATCAAAGTGATATAACAAATGAGAGTAGTCTAACAAGTGAAAGTAATGTAACAAATAAAAGTAATATTATACATGAAAGTAAAATAGCAAATGACAATAACATAACAAATGAAAATAATATAACAAATCAAAGTGAATACTTTTTAATTCCTTTGTCAGCTGATTGATCTGAAACAGACATTGGTGACAATGACAACCCACCTATCTCCGTTATCTAAAAATTAATTAATACACCAAAACTTATATTATTGGTTGCCAATTTGCTTACTTTTTTCTGACTTCTTTTTCTATTGCATAACTACTATTTTCCTTGGAACCAGGTCAAAGTATTAAGTTAGATGATCCCTTTGTGGCCTCAAGGTCTCTAGTTCAAATCTGCATCAAGGCAATTTGTTTCTTCGAAACTGACCTTGATTTTCAAGTCAACACAGCATAAAATGGGCACCAGGTAATTCCTGACAAGTAAAAGCAGCAAAATGATGTCGACCACACCACCAAACATGAATTGATTGATCAATAAAAATACAAGTCTAGCATCAAATGCTTAATGTGCATCTGGCATAAAGAGAGCCCTTTAGCGTTTTTTAAGCTAATATATTTGTAGAGAATGCTAATTTCCCTGTTTCATATTGTATGGATAGAATTAATGTTTATCAACCTCAAGTGCCTTGCTGACTGGCGTGGGCGATCATGCCTCTTCACAACCTGTGATCTGCACCTGTCTCAGTTTGTGTGTTGACACCCCTCAATGCCACGAAAAAAGGCTGTCAAAAATGTTCTCAATTTGTCTTCTTCTGTTTCTCTTTCTACAGATCTTTCCAGTGATCACAACATGTTCCAGTTTCCTTCTTCCCATATCATGACCTAAAAATTATGACTGTCTCTTTCCTGATATTTGTGATAAGTTGTCTTTGAGCCCTCACCGTATTTCAAAACATCTGGGTTGCTCTTTTTTGGCCATCCAATGAATTCTAAGGATGCTTCTGTAACACCGTCTTTCGAATAAATAGAATGTCCTTGAGGTGTAAACCCTACAGTTTGGAAGAGACAAACCACTTCCCCTACCTCGTGTGATGACTAAACATAATTTCTTAGTGGCCCAGGGGGACTTTTTCATGGTCTACCAGTGCTTAAAGAATACTGCTATATAGCATGGGAGAGTTCTGTTTATAACCTTCAATGACATGGATTTATTGCATAATTAATGTTACAAATTTGTAAACAGACCATGGTAATGTAATTGTGTGCACACTTTTCTACCTGTAAAAACTAAAAAAATAGCTACCTGACAATCAGCTGTAAAAAGTAAAGGAGATTGGTGCAGTGAAACATACATCATATACTTTACTTACTACTGTTCCAGAAAAAGCCACAATTCGTTCTTCTATAACCCCTGCATAGTAAACTGATTATATATTTCATTTACAAATAATTGTCATGAAACATGATAGCATGTATTCACTTACCACAGTTCCAGAGAAGGCCACAATTCCTTCTTCTATACCCCTGCGTAGAACAGGGATCATATGTTGTATCTGGAGATTATTGGAAACATATGGGGCCATTATGCTTTTATCTATCTATCTATCTATCTATCTATCTATCTATCTATCTATCTGTCTGTCTGTCTGTCCATCCATCTGTCCGTCCGTCCGTCCGTCCGTCCGTCCATCCATCCATCCATCCATCCATCCATCTATCTATCTATCTATCTGGTAATCTGGTAATCTGGTAATCCTAGTTTCAGCATCATAGCAAACGGGTCACCCCATTGTTGCTCCGCTCCTGTGCCAACGAAAAACACTCGTAGCTCACAGTGTCACACCATGCACTCAACTCAGAAGCTGGGTGACGAAACTATATCCTTCCAGTCTACAAATGGAGCAAAAATGCAACGGCCACCGCCTGGCAGAACTGCCACGGCTTAAAAAAAAAAAAAAAAAAAAAAAAAAAAAAAAAAAAAAAAAAAAAAGTGGTCGTGCCTAGTGTCCACTGTGACTTGAAGCATTATGTGAGTGGTTAACAAATGGTCACCCCAGCAGTACCCTCACTATTAGCTGGGAAAGGGACTTAGGACATTACATCCACCAGCAGGCGTCGCCCCTACAACGACCTGACTGCCTTCGTTAACGACTGTTCACCCAACAGCCATGCAGTTCTTTGGCACGAAGGAGACACCTTGAACTTGGGTTTCGGAATGCCGACTTCCTACAAAATGTTATTTTGTGTTTTGTTATCACAATCGACGACACTGCACATTGGGCATACCCATGCGTGCGCAGTCCTCCGAAGCAGCAGCCACTCCAAAGTACTTCTAATAATTGTCCCCATGAGAAGCTGGTTATATTGTCTCCTTTCTCGGCCTCGCAGACGGCAAAGACGTGCTTCACCATGCTTAACTCCCATGTCACGCAATCGTGTTAGTGTCAGGGATTCGATATTATCCACTAGCCCAGTACGTACAGCGTTAACGATATCTGCTCTGTCCATGCTTTTTCCCGCAATCATTAGTGCTGTGCTTGCCAGTTGGTCCGCTCGCTCATTTCCCTTTACGCCCGCATGACCCGGTGTGTAGATCCAGGTTACGGAAGTTAAGTGCGATTTCCGAATGCTTTCTATCCATTCAGAGCGCATACTGCCTGTTGCTATTTTCTGAAGCATATTCATTGAGTCTGAGACAATTACTGCTTGTGTGGCGGTTTGCTCAGATACCCATGCTAAAGCTCTAGAAGCAGCGGCTATTTCCATGGTCATGCTTGACATGGTTGTCTGGTAAGCGCCGCTGTCCTCATGTATTGTTTTCCCCCTTCTTTGCGCTGTGTATGCCCATGCTGACCTTGATCCGCGCTTCACGGACCCATCTGTGTAGATGATGATATCTTCTGGGTCTGAATGCTGATCTATCAGTTCCCTTACTTCTGTGTCTATGGCCGCAGGAATCTGATCCCGACAGTACCTTCCTAGTGTGATGACAACCTTAGAGATGCCATGCATGTCTACTGGTGTATTCATCCATTCTTTTCCGTGCCTGATAACGCGTAGGTCACATACCTGCTGGATAAAATTCTCAGCCTTTGCCATCCAAGAGCGGCCTCTTTTGAGACGCGTTCCTTTTGTGTCGTATATAGCTTTGTGCAATGGGTGCACAAATCTATCTATCTATCTATCTATCTATCTATCTATCTATCTATCTATCTATCTATCTATCTATCTATCTATCTATCTATCTATCTATCTATCTATCTATCTATCTATCTATCTATCTATCTATCTATCTATTCTATCTTTCTATCTCTATCTTTCTATCTATCTATCTATCTATCTATCTATCTATCTATCTATCTATCTATCTATCTATCTATCTATCTATCTATCTATCTATCTATCTATCTATCTATCTATCTATCTATCTATCTATCTATCTATCTATCTATCTATCTATCTATCTATATCTATCTATCTATCTATCTATCTATCTATCTATCTATCTATCTATCTATCTATCTATCTATCTATCTATCTATCTATCTATCTATCTATCTATCTATCTATCTATCTATCTATCTATCTATCTATCTATCTATCTATCTATCTATCTATCTATCTATCTATCTATCTATCTATCTATCTATCTATCTATCTATCTATCTATCTATCTATCTATCTATCTATCTATCTATCTATCTATCTATCTATCTATCTATCTATCTATCTATCTATCTATCTATCTATCTATCTATCTATCTATCTATCTATCTATCTATCTATCTATCTATCTATCTATCTATCTATCTATCTATCTATCTATCTATCTATCTATCTATCTATCTATCTATCTATCTATCTATCTATCTATCTATCTATCTATCTATCTATCTATCTATCTATCTATCTATCTATCTATCTATCTATCTATCTATCTATCTATCTATCTATCTATCTATCTATCTATCTATCTATCTATCTATCTATCTATCTATCTATCTATCTATCTATCTATCTATCTATCTATCTATCTATCTATCTATCTATCTATCTATCTATCTATCTATCTATCTATCTATCTATCTATCTATCTATCTATCTATCTATCTATCTATCTATCTATCTATCTATCTATCTATCTATCTATCTATCTATCTATCTATCTATCTATCTATCTATCTATCTATCTATCTAACAATATCTATCTGTCTGTCTGTCTGTCTGTCTGTCTGTCTGTCTGTCTGTCTGTCTGTCTGTCTGTCTGTCTGTCTGTCTGTCTGTCTGTCTGTCTGTCTGTCTGTCTGTCTGTCTGTCTGTCTGTCTGTCTGTCTGTCTGTCTGTCTGTCTGTCTGTCTGTCTGTCTGTCTGTCTGTCTGTCTGTCTGTCTGTCTGTCTGTCTGTCTGTCTGTCTGTCTGTCTGTCTGTCTGTCTGTCTGTCTGTCTGTCTGTCTGTCTATGGTGTCCATACCCTAGCAGATGATTCACAATGCATCATAAAAAGCATCTGACAAATGTCCAAATGTCTTGATATAATTGTTGAAAGAAAATTAAGTGTGCTCATAGGTCATGCTGACTGTACTGCATGCTAGTTTCTGCAGTGCTGTTAGTTGTTACTGTAACCATTTCTGTTCCAAGCTATTGAGATTAAAAGTAATTAACTAATTATCCTGAAGAAGTTTAACATAGGCATTATTGGACAGAAGTAAATAATATAATAATTTAAAAATAAAACAAAGGGTTAGCATAACACTAGTTTGTGATAGAAGACAGCAAGAACAACACATTTTTGGAATAATCAAGAATCACAAAGTGAGCTGTTTAGTGTTGAAAAGATAAATCGTCCCTTCTTCGGCAATCAGTAAAGAGTTCCCATAAAGGGGCATTTTTAGAACTAGGAAATCTGTAAAATTCACAAATTAAATGTGGCACCAAACGTAACATACTTAACTCTAAAATAAAAAATGTTACATAAAGAAAATAAATACAGCCATACCCTAGCCGGAAGTCTCTCCAGCCTACTTATGTATTTGTGAAAATCTTCTTCTGTGTCAAATTTCATGTATGAAATTATCAAATGACAAATGTTGTGGATCCCTTCTGAATATGTCACTGGAATCAAGTAGCTAGAGACAGACAAATGTACAATTATTTCATGGGGTAAAAAAGAAGAATAGTTACAGATCTTTACAATGTTTGATAAGATGGAAAATAAACTAATTGTAGTGTTAGAAAACTTAAATAAGACATCAAAAATCTTAGAATAATTTTACTTGTAAGCATTGTATTTGGGGGAAAAACAAGCCATAATGTGATTTTCAAAATATTACATGAGATATTAGACAGGGCTGTGTTTAATCACCCACTATATCAATGTCAGAAGTGGGAAAAAAATTAGATCCAAACAAAATGTGGCAGAAATATTACTTGGTGGGCACACTGTAAACAGCCTGGATAGAGGATTATTAAATAAGTTAAATGTAGAAATTCCAAATTAAAATAAGATTTCACAGGAAGAAGGATTTTGTATAAAGCAAAAAAGAACATTTTTTATGGGCTATAAAGAGCCAGATCTGATTCGGAATTGAAGTAGCGATAGTCAGCACATAATTGAGACACATTTTGTGGCAGCTTTAAAAAGCTCACAGATTTGCCAGAAATTTCAGTTTACTTTGTTTTTGTTTCATGACTGTGAACTAATTTTTGTTTCTTGTATATTTATATTCACACTTTTAAGACCTCTTTTTAATTCAATTTTAAAAAATGAACAGTAAATCTAATCAGCTTTCCCAGAATAAACACAATACATTGATAAAATGAATGTTCCCACTAGAAAGCCTTTATCAGCATAAAACAAAACACAGACGATTATACAACTACATAAAAACTTTATAAAATTACTTAGCTGTTTATATACTTATGTTATGTTCTTGTTTCTGTATCTTGATGATTGCTCTCTAGCTGTAAAATACATTTTATTAACATTCTTTTCTTTTTTTTCGGGGAAGCTACTAGTTCTACTTTACATTTTGCTTTAAATGTGAAAGTTATCTTAGGAAAATATGTTCTCTTCCATAATTGTATGTGTACTTTATTCTGGAATATTCTATATAACCTAAAACATACACACCTTCTAAATGGTGCTCCTTGCAAGTACAATTTCAGGTCTGCCACCTGTAAGTTGTAGCTCAGTTTCACTTCAGAACTACAGGACTCTGTGTCCAAAGATTCAGCTCTTTTCAAGAAATCCTGTACACATGCCTTAAACAGAGATACATATTCATTGTAAAATAATGAAAAGGACTTTAGGTTGTAATCATCAAGCACAGTCAATAACTTGAAATAAAATGACTACTTTTTTTCCCCAATGTACTCCAATAATAGAAGCAAATTTGTTATCCTACTTTGACAATAACTCATCTTCATCTTTGCCTTCCTCCTCTTCTTCTCCTTCCCCTTCACTCTTTCGTTTCTTACTCACCCTATCCTATTTCTTCTCATCCAGCTCATTTTCCTCCTTCTGAGTGTAATTACTTGTGCTACCCTGTGTGGACTATATATACTTTGTAATCATCAGGAGGTGGGGGGAGGGGGAGGGGCGCGCAGTATCACAATAACCTGGGAGATCACAGTCATGTGTAAACGTACTCGAAAAGAAGGTAACAAGCATTGGAAATTTTGTATTTCTGAAAAATTCTTGGTTTATCATACAGAGACCACATCACAAATGACAAGGTTCACCCTATAATTACCCAGCACATTAAAAATAATTAACCTCTATTAACTACAGCGGAAAGGCAGAAAATGAATGGGTACAGACATGTAGTAGTAGCAGTAATTTTTCAAAAATATCCTGTTCAACCCTCTTGGTAAAATTGGGAAATAATGCGTTAATTGATTTCTCAGAGTTTTTATTTTGTTATTCATATATTGCATAATTTTTTTAATGACCGATATGTAATTTGTATTGTTTTACATATTGCTTTGATTTGAGTGATGATGATGATGGAAACTGCACAATGAATAATTAGACAATCTTACTAACATTGTGTAATTAACATGTTGGATTTATTATTCCCTTTGTGAAATAAGGAAAACAAAATTCCAAGATGGCATGGACATTCTTAACCCATATATGTAAGGATTTTAGTTCTAGTAATAAATTGCTTGACCTTGCCTTGCAGGTCTCTAGAGCTGTTTATGTGCAACAAGTTTTTGGTCAGCATAGGTAATTTACAGAGATTTGTATAGTCAGTTAATGGACATGTAATAAGATCTATCAGTTTCTCAAACACAATACTACAGGGCTCACTAGAGGAAAAGAGGAAGACAGGCAGACCAAGAGAGACCTGGATACAGAATTTGACTGACTAGACAGGCTTTAGGCTTGCCACCATGAAGTCCATCACGTCTGACTGTCAATGGTGGAGAGAGCTGATCAGACAGTCAAAAACAACTGGTGACCCACTGACACAAAATGTTACAAGATGATGATGATGATGATGATGACCCGGGGGAACCAGAGTGTTGTGTGCACATCCTTCAAACAAATATGGCTTATTATATGCAGATTTTTTGGTTTCTTACCTCTCAGGTAGATGCACTCTGACTTCAAAGGATACTCTCAGTTAGTTGACTTCTACGACATGCTTCTTGGGGAGGCAGGGAGTGTATAATTGTTTTCCCCAAAATGGGGCACACAGGGTGATGTCTTTATTAAATTTTCTTTAACTCACTTCTCTTCGAATGTAAGCTTCTTCACTAAGATCATCCCACAAATCATCAAACTGATGAAATCCATAATAAGTAGCCACTTCAGGACTTTCTGAGAGTCTCCACTGCCAAATCTCCTCACACAGGTTGAGTACCTCAGAATCCTGGGCTGATAAGTTGGAGATAAGCATTTTTCATGGAACCACCTGCAAAATAAAACAATATGTATATGATACTGCCATAACAGACATCGGGAGAGGTGCTCTACGGACTTGAGCCTTCAGGTTCCAGCATCTAGTATTTTGCAGAATGGCAAATAAATATCATTATGTATTTGGGAAATAATGAAGTGTAGTAACAAATACTTAAAAAAACAGAACTTATATACTTTTATAATCAGTGATTGCACACTGAGGAAACAATACAATATATGCACCAGGAAAATGACACAATGCTATCAAACACTGTCTAATTATTCATAGTCAATGTCTAATTATTCATAGTCAATGTCTTATTATTCATAGTCAATGTCTAGTTATTCATAGTCAATGTCTAATTATTCATAGTCAATGTCTTATTATTCATAGTCAATGTCAAGTTATTCATAGTCAATGTCTAATTATTCATAGGCAATGTCTAATTATTTATAGTCAATTCCGTCACATATTGCATGTTTGGCAGTTTTCATCTTTCCCGGTGTTTCTTTTCGTTTGTTTATTCATGCGCGAAAAAAATATAAAGCAAAACACGACGTTAAATATATTTTTCTCAGCACCGTAATTAAGCACGCAGGTTAAACAAGGTCAAAACTTGGTTGAAAATGGACGGATAGGTGCAACACACTTACTTGCTAGTCAGTGTCCGTTATCCTTTTTTCTTGATAATTTCTGTGCAATTCGAATTGCAAGTCACTGCAGTTGTTCGTGTCATATTTAATAAAAAGGATTTTACTGGGCCAAAGTTCCACAGAAGCACATACCCTGGGCCTGACCCACATTCTGTGACTTGCAAGTGTTATGACCTGAATCAGCGCGACCTGGAACAGTTACCAGCCTGCACTCTTACATAAAGTGACGGGTGCATTCCACGAAGCAACAGAGTTTTATGTAGATCTTTATGACTGAATCTATAATATGTTAACATTCGCACAGTCTGGAATCGATAGTATGGTATAATTGTGTATAATAATACATACTATTAACATATTTATATTTAAATAAATTACCGCCACTACTACTTGTGTGCTTGCATGTGCGTTTGTATGTGTCTGCCTCTAGGGAAAGGGGGGGGAGAGAAACAATACGTCCCACCTGTACATGACTGCAGGTTACACTAGGTTTGTGTGACAGTTACTGGTGCACCAGTTATAACGTCTCTGGTGTTTGAACGGTACATCAGGGATTTGCCCTACAAGGCTGCCAACAAGGATATGGGCACGCCGCAATAAAGAAAACATTAAAGGGGCTCAGGCCCCCGCTCCCTCTTTCCGTCTTTCAAATTTTCTATGCAAAATTTATTTTGGGTGGAAGTGGGCTTTTCCATCCCTAATTTGAGAAAACATACAAAATTGGGGGGGGGGGGGGAATGCCACGCCAAATCACGCACTCCTCACCACTTAGGTAAAAAGTTGGGGTAGGAAAGCTCAGACCTTTTCAGCACCCCCCCCCCCACCTCATTAAAACATTAAGGACTCGGCCCCCCCCCCCACCTCCCGCCACGCCCTCCTTGCCCTCTTCACATTTTCTAGTCAAATAATTAAGTGAGGAAGGAAGCCCTCAGATTTTTTTAAGGCCCCCACACAACATAAATTTTCGGGTTAGGGGGGGACTAAGAACTTCACCCCCCCCCCCCCCCCCACACACACACACATCTCACTCTATAATGTTTCAAGAGAGCTAAGAGGGTGTGTATATTAATTATCTTTTAAAGCATTCGTTTATACATTTTATATAACATCAGATCTGGTTTTTTTTTTTTTTTTTTCTATTTGGCATATACATTTTTTATTACGAATGAGATTTTGTTGTTATTATTGTTATCATTATTATTATCTTCTTCTTTTCTTCCCCCTTTTTACCTCAGCGAGGTGTTGGGGGAGAAGTGAGGGTAATTTGTGCGCTTTTCACAATGAATTGTACAAGTTGGTGTTCATTTCTGTTAGGTTGCTCCTGATGGTTTTGCTCCATATCTTGTGTGGTCTTCCCCTTGCTCAGTGCTCATTATATTTCGTGTGGCTCTCTGTGGCAATTAGTACCAGGGCATTCTCGTCAAGTGGCCAAACCCTCTGATATGTTGTTCTTAATGAATTGTATGACTGGTTTCAGACCTAGTGTTCTTCTAATTTATTTTTTGTCACATCAGCAGCTCTCCTAAGACACCTCATCTCTGTTGTTCCTACCTTCCGCTCATTAGTTGTTGTAAGGGTCCATGTAAGGCCCCCAAAAAACCCTGTTTTTATGAGATTTGTTTTGGTTGACATAATTTATTATTATTATTATGGATGTGCTGAATGGCAAATAAATGCAAAAAATACTTGAAATAATGTAAAATGTATGAATAAATGCCTTCAACGCCACCCCCCCCCCCCCCTTTTTCAACCCACCCTTCTAACTGCCCCACAGAGCATGTTGAGAAAGACGGAGACAGGCATGCTCCTTGCAGAGTGGCAAACATCACTTTAGAGGTCCTGGGTGGTTAGCATCCTTTAGATATGTTCTCCAGGTTATGCCGGTGTATTGGGAAATGAGCAGGCAGATAGCCTGGTCGGTTCTGCACCACTTGGTGGTGAACTGATGTATGACAAGCTGGATGTTGTTAGGGCCCTTTGGGAGAGAGTGAACAGTGCCGAGGCACAGATAGATCATTACAGTCTTACGAAAATGGCACTGCGAGGAGTTACAGGGGGGTTTGGCCGACGCTGAACACTCAGGGAAAGGATGAGACGGACATACAATCAGACAGCTACTGGTACCATCGGAATTAGAACTCTTCGCTTGCTGCTGATGATGGGGACGGAGCGCTTATCGGGGTGTCCAGAGTGCTGAGATGTCGATTCTCAATTCAAAATTCAACCACACTCAACATTCCCACCCACAGGTTTGTTGCGTATCCTTTACAGGACGTCGCAGAACCAACCACAGCAGCCCCTGGCTGTTGTTTGGTTTCTCTAGGCAAATTTACGTCAAGTAGTTTGTCATTGCTACTGGACGGTCGGCTCCATGATACCACTGTCGAAACCAACGCAAGGTGCATAGCCTGCAGCTGGGATCGAACCCGGCACAGCGGCATTACGAAGTGTTTGCATCGACTTAGCCACAGAGCCGACATTCCCACCCACCCTATTAATTTAACTATTTCTTCGCGGAGAAATAGATGTAATGGCATCATGGTACTTATCGCGCTTTTCGATCTTTTGTAGTAGTAATTTTTACACGAAAAATATGTTGAACTCTCAGGAATATTCTGGGAGCTTTAGTTTTCGTTGTTATTATGTTACGCGGGGTTTCTGCTAATTTTCCAATTTTCTTTTTTCTGCAGCACAGCGTTTGAAAACGTCGATCTCGTCTTTTAACATTTTCCGCCATCTTCATTTCCTCTCGTGAGCTTAAGGATATCTGTTGCACTTTCCTTAGCTGCTTCACCGCTGTTTTCTTTGCCTTCCATGCATGTTTTACATCTGGAGTCCACCTTGTGAGCTGTACAAATGTACTTTTGACAGTACTGTTGCCTTCTGCCGAGGTGTCCAAGGACGCCGGTCTTAGTCCGCTCAAAACGGAAGGTCTTGCGAGCTCTCCCAGCTTGCAGACTATCACTCCCATTGTCATTCAAGACAGTTCACTTTTCATCAAAAACCGATGACTGGGAGAGAAATGAGAAGTCAAAGAAGAAGAAAGAAAAGATTGAAAACAATAGTATCTGCAAGTGTAATTTCTCCGCTATTGTCCTATACTCTGTTCCTAGAATTGAAGTTCCCACATGTAAGCACCCCTTTTCCTGGTAATTCCTCCAATTCCTTGAGCTAGTCCCAGTGTTTCTTTTTGACAAAACAGTCTACCGTGACATATACATTTATAAGGTTTAAGGTTCCAACTTAAGCCACCAATCTCCATCTGTATGCCCTGAACATCTCTTCCACTGTGATCCCACTGGCTCAAGTCAAGTATCAAGCTGTACACTCTGTCCTCCACAACTACATACATTATTACATTTATAGTAATTTGTTACGTCCTTTTTAGGACGTTATTTTTTTTTATTTGAAGCCCCACTCTGGCTTTTGCCAGGGGTCGCAATATAGGCAGGCCATAGATATCGCCAATTGTCTGAACGCGGTTTCTTGAACCTCTCCATGGTGATCCTCATCCACAAGGTGGCACTTTATGTCATCTGGTGTTTATTGCTTGTGTGATGTCCTAGTGGAGTAGAAAGTCAGTCAGTCAGTCTGTCCTTCACCAAAAGACCTTGTCTGTGTCTCCCCTGTCAATTGGGTTTATGTAACTCCCATACCCAGGTCAATGATTTCTGCCTGCATTTAGCTCCTGGAGCATGATGACATCACAATCATATATCAGCCTTTCCAGTGCAAGACCTCACTGTCTAGCACTACGACAGTTCCAATGTCCCACTAATGTATGATTGAAACCTAATCTTGGCCTTTTTCCTCGTATTCTTCTGGTGCCTGCCCTTCTATTTCTATGTATTTTTCTCTCACCATTTCCTCATCCCCCCCCCTCCCTCTCTCTCTCTCTCTCTCTCTCTCTCTCTCTCTCTCTCTCTCTCTCTCTCTCTATCTATCTATCTATCTATCTATCTTTATCTTTCTCTCTCCGCTGTCTGATAAAAACCGTATCGTGTGCATAGCACGTTTCGTAGATTTATATGTTCAAATAAATTCATAAGCAAAAAGAAAAATTCGAATATTGCAGAAAATGATCGGCCGCCCTAGACTTGCCTGCCTGCGAGGGAAGAAGCAGTTGATGTCCCGCAGGAGTCCATACGCCTTGTGCTGCCCCGCACGCATGCCAGACGTCCAACGCTCACGACTAGCTCACCCGTGGTCTTCTAATGCCTCAGCATCCCCCCCCCCCCCCCCCCACCCACCGTTTTTTTTTAATTGGGGAAGGGGTTATAATGTTTTGAGATTTCCCGCCTCTAGATGGACTTGTGTTGAACGCTGACTGATCCACCTACGCTG